AAATTTCTTTTTTTTTTTGTCGAAAATTTCTTCCGGAATTTCCGACCGGTGTAGATCCGAAACACTTATCGGCCTGCCGGTCTTATCGCGTTGTTTATCCGACACCATCCGGACCAGCAACAATTGAACATTCCGGTAGAAGCGATGGACACTACAAGCAGGTAAACATTGCTTTGCTCCTACAACCTCGTTCTGGAACTAATGATTCAGATCGGTCTCGGCTTGCTTACGCTGCCGACGACAGAAACTCAAATGTGGAGGTCCCAGCAAAGTCCCTTGTGCGAGGTGCAAAGCGAGCCGGGCTGAATGCGTCTTTGTGAATCCCCGGGCATCGCGTGCCTCGAACAGGTCTAGGCACCTTGCTGAGGAGTTAGAGTGAGTTTGATATGATTGCGTTTGCTATGTCTGCTTGCTCATTTCACAGAGATAAATGGTCTGCTTTAGAGCAGCGGATGGATAGCTTGGAGGAGAGACACCAGAAAGAGTTGAGAGAACTGCAAAGCAAAGTCTCTCGGTTGTGCGACCGGCTCGAATCTACTGCAGAAAATGGATGTGGCCTGTCATTGTCGAATGATGAGCTGCTCGCCGGGCCTCAAGTCAGGGAGACGGACTCATTTGACATCGTGCGATGTGGTACTGTTACCGAAGGTGAGTGGGAGGAGCTGTATGATTTGTGAGTACACGGCTTTTGCGAAGATTGCCACTAAATGTTCGTGTACGTATATGCTTACGCGAAATTTAGCTTCGATGAGCACTGTCGGACAGTCATCGCATTCATGGATGACCAGCTCTACTCAGCGGCGCACGTCATCCGCACACAACCTCTGATGGCGACGGTAATCTGCGTCATTGCATCCAAGGCAGTTCGTCCAGAGAATTATACCACCTATCTTGGCGCAGCAGATCAGATAATTAACACCACGTTTTCTGGCGCCATAGATATATACACTGTTCAGGCGATGATGCTTCTCGCCGCCTGGACTGGCAGACATCGTCTGTGGGGATATGTCGCATCTATCGCCGTGGAGCTAGGCTTGAGTGTGGCTGCGTCAAACTTAGCAGATGTCTCTGTCGAACACACAGCAGATTTAGTTGGCTTAGCAAGAACGTGGTTCTCGTTGTGTTGCTTTGACCTAATGTAAGCGCGGACGCCATCCGAAGCTGAGTTGTACAGTACAAACTGACTTTATCAACAAGGATCAATCTGAATCGTCCATTCGTCGTCTACAATATTATGGACTATCTGCCTGTCGCCTCTCAACTTCTGGTCTCTCCTCACTGCAGACCAGTGGACTATCGCCTTTGCGCGTATTTGCAGGGGTTTTCGATCACTGGTATGAGGTCCCTCACCTCACACGGCGACAACACTCAACTAACAATATGCAGCCGAAGCCAAAGCGCAAATAGCCAAAACAGAATTGCAACCGAATCCACTACCTGACAGCGTGATTCAGAGATTGGGAGCCCTTGATCAGAAAATTGACCGCTGGTTCTACCATATCAACAATAGCATGGAGCCGCTCTACCAAACTTTTGCTAAGAAGCAAGACCGGAACCGATTTATGGTTCCCTTCGCTTTCCTCAAGATGTGTGCCTCCCAGTCCTACTCAAATGTTGCAATATCTAACGTCTTTGTTGGGTTCAGTTACGTGAACGGTCTTGCTTTGCACGGGAAGGTGTCTCAACACGGGAGCGCAGATACCAACAGGGTGGCTTTCATTCAAAAGGCCCTGGATAGCGCATGTCTACTACTTCAAACTCAGTTCGAGTCGAAGGAGTTCCGACAAATGCTGCCCTATTCGGGAGACTACAATCTCGTGACTACGTACTATGCTATCGAGTTCATGCCCAAAGCTCTCGAAGTCGCTAGTGCAGCTGTGAATTGCGAGCTGGTGCTTTCGAGACTACGTCAGGGGGCCCAGCTGCTGGAAGAGGCCGGGGCTGCGGAATCTGCTAGCAAAGTTCGAGATGAATTGCATATGCTGAAACAGGTGATGCGGACTTCTCTACCCCCGGAAGGTCTTGTGGCGGACTTAGACCAAGCCGCGGGAGAGTCTCTTTTTGACATTCCAAATCTTTTGGATGGATGATTCAAGGAAATGTGTATCAGTGATATGAAGAATTCGGACTCAACTTGGGCTGTAATATTTCTGAGATTGATGGAGAATGTTGTACATAGCTAACCATCGCATATGCCTGGACGATGAATGGTGGATTGACCACAACTACTCTAAGCGCCCAGCAGCCTTCATCGCCTGATGAAACTCCTCTTTCATCCTCAACGCAAAATCGTCATTAAGCAAGACATCGATGCAGATCAGCGCGTTGGCCTTTCCTGCTCGCAGTGCCTCGACATGCCCGATTTCACTTTCCGCTGCTTCCCTGAACCCTGTCGAATGGGGGAGATCGGTCGCATGGATGTTGAATACGGATTGAATGCCAGGGCAGATGTAAGAACAGCTACCGAAGTCCCTGTCATAGATGGTGAGTTGCAAAACATTAAAGAGGTTGACAAGAAGCACTTACGAGCTCCCACCCAGATCGTGAGCTATTTTTGCCTCCGCCACTGGTAGCATCTCCTCTGGAGTTAGACCGAGATGCTGTATCATGTACTGCCTGTACTGCTCTGCGAGCGTCTCGTTCGTCACGACGTCTTCGTAAAGTGCAAACCTGATAGTCTCACATCAGCACAATCCTATTGATCGAGGTCGAGACACTCACCAATCCAATTCCACCGTACATCCAGTCGCAGCAGCCGCACCATGGAAGATAGGCTCCACCCTCGCCCGGAGTGCCTCGATCTGCTTCACCGTCGGCGCTCGCACACTGAACATCCCCTCCGCATAATCCGGAATCAGATTCGGCACCTTCCCCGCCTCCAGAATACACCCCTGGATACTCTCACTTTTCTCAACGTGCTGCCTCAGCAACGCGATCCCCGTGTATGCCTGCACGATGGCGTCGCAGGCGTTCCGCCCCGTCCAGGGTGCCCCCGCCGCATGCGCCGACTTGCCGTGGAACTTGGCCCGCAGCTTCCACGAGGCCTTGGTCATGCACACGGGCGTGCTGAAATCTGGCATCCCGTGCGTCATCACACAGGCGTCGAAGCCCTGCCACGCGCCATTCTTCGCCATGATCCACTTCCCGCCGTACGACTCCTCAGCGGGGGTACCCATCACCACGACCGTTCCGGACAGGTTGCGGGACTTAAGGACGGACTCGACGGCCACCGCCGATGCAAGAGTGGAAGTGGCGATTAAGTTGTGGCCGCAGGCGTGGCCTACACCGGGGAGGGCGTCGTACTCGGCGTTGAAGCAGACGGTGCGCCCGCCGTCTTGGACGGAGAAGCGCGCCTCGAAGGTGGTCTCGATGCCGTAGACGTTGCGCGTGACGGTCCACCCGCGCCGCTCGAGCCAGTCGGACAGGAGCTTGCTGGCTTTGACTTCTTGGAAGGCGGTTTCTGGGTTGTGGAAGAGCTGGAAGACATGAGTTGGCTATTGTTTGGTCTCAGCTTCAGCGCATGTGTGGAGGCTACTAACCTCGAGACTCAATCTGCGCAGTTCTTCGCTCGCGTCATCGATGGCTCGCGTGGTCTCGGAGACGACATCTGCAGGTTGAAGAGGGGGAGGATCTGTTGGTTGGGTCATTGTGATGGGTTTTCAGCGTGTGTTTAGTCTTCTCGAGCCGTTCAAAGGGAGAATGAGGCATGGTACATAGTCGTAGAGAGCGATGTGAGGAAATCCCATGGCTTAAGTACAGAATGTGGTCATATAGACCACCCCCGCAAAAGCAGATAACGGTTGATAAGCGGTGTCAGTCATTGTTTCGGCTTCGGGGTCACTTTTCGGTCGGACCGATCCGCCCGCTCCGACCGCCCTCAGCCAGCCACTAACTTAGCCACGTTAGCGGGGCGCAGTTGTGGCTGCCTGAGAGGGGTTAATATGTGAGCCTGAGGCCATAATCTTGTCTATAGCATGCACGAGAGACGAGGCTGAATCCTCCTTCCCCAACCTCTCTCACTTCACCAACCTCCCTTCACAAACACCACCTCGAGGAATTGAACAGACACATGTCTGTCACCGAGTTGCTACTGCAACGAAGACATGACATCCTATGATTATGACAACCCCACCAGCAGCTCCAACAGTGCTTCATCACCATGATTACACAATCGGGTGGATCTCTGCTCTGCCCTTGGAGATGGCAGCTGCGGCCGCCATGCTCGACGAAAGACACCCCGATTTGCCAACCAAGCCGAACGACGACAACACCTACATACTTGGACGGATCCATGTCCACAACGTGGTCATCGCCTGCCTTCCCTCCGGCGTGTATGGCACGACATCAGCCGCCACCATTGCGAGCCAAATCCGCTTGACGTTCCCCTCGATTCGAATCGGATTGATGGTCGGCATTGGCGGTGGAGTCCCTGGAACGTCGGAGGATGTCAGGCTAGGAGATGTGGTTGTCAGCAAGCCAACAAGGGACTATGGGGGCATTGTACAATACGATTATGGAAAGTCGTTGGCCGGGGGAGTATTTGCTCGACAAGGAGTGCTTAACAAGCCCCCGCCCATCCTTCTAACCGCGATTTCTCGATTGCAGGCCGCGCACTTGACCAGACCAAGTCAAATCTCGTGGCTCGTGTCGCAAGCCGCCCGGTCCTCTTGTTTCGCATACCCTGGCGCTGACCGTGACATCCTTTTCGATTCCGAATATGATCACCTAAACCCGGAAAGCACCTGCACGGACTGTGATCCGAACAGACGCATGAAACGGTCAATTCGCACTTCGCAGGATCCGAAGATTCATTACGGGCTTATCGCGTCTGCGAATCAGGTCATGAAGGACGGTTGCTTGAGGGACAAGCTGGCCCGTGACCTCGGCATACTTTGCTTTGAGATGGAGGCAGCAGGCCTGATGGACAGCTTTCCGTGTCTAGTTGTCCGGGGCATCTGCGACTACTCGGATTCTCACAAGACTAAGGAGTGGCAGGGGTATGCAGCGGCAACAGCCGCCGCCTACACCAAGGAATTGCTATCGATTATTCATGGAAAACAACTCGAGGACGAACCATCGAAGCTCTCCGCCGACAACAGTAAGCTGTTCCTGAAGTCGCATGGTGATCTCTTGACTAATCTTGTATGCTAGTACCATACCTTTTTGGAGCACTCTCGTCGACCCCGCACTCGTCTCGGAATGTGGCTTCACAGCGCAACGGTGAGGGTTATCTCCATGTTAAGGCTGAAATGCTGTTAATCTTTTGAAGAATTTGATGAACAAGAGGAGCTCCTTGAGCAGATTTCTAGTTACCAGCACGAACAGGTTCATAGAAGGCTTGCGCACAAAAGACTGAGTGGTACTACTCAATGGTTCTTGGAAAATTCCGAATTCAAGGCGTGGTCGGAGAGACGCTCGAACAAGTTATGGTGCACCGGGAAAAGTAAGGTCCCATATATCTGTGGTTGGCTGGTTACTGAATAGTAACTTTCATGCAGTTGGGTCTGGAAAGACAGTGATCGCGTTGGTACTGTGTCCCTTCTCGAGAAGCCGAGCTGACGCTAAATGACTAGTGCGTCTGTGGTCGAAACTATCCGATATGAGCCCTCGGATTGTCATGCTCCTACCGTCTTCTTTTATTGCGAAAATGACCATACTGGGACTCTGCGGGCGTCTTCAGCCTTGTGTAGTCTGATTAGACAACTAGGTGAATTCGTTCATCGGACCGCAGGACCATGGCCAGCGCACCTGAGAAAAGAGATTGTGACATTCTTTGCTAGAAGAAAGATAATGCCCGATTTCAACGACTTGCAGAACATATTCATACAACTATTTGACCTAGTGCCGATGGCCACATATGTCTTGGATGGGCTCGATGCGATGGAGGAAGAACAATGCAAGCTTTTACTTACCTTCATCCGCTCACTATTCTCCGGAGCAAGAGAGCTCAAAGGGCAACGTATTCTCCTCTTTAGCCGAGACCAAATACCAGGTTATGTCAACCTCGCGACACTCATACCTGGGATCGGTCGGATCTCCACCTTCGACAACACCATGAGCGATATTCGGACCTTCATTGACTATAGTATTAGTGATAAGTCAATGTATCGGAAGCTCACAGACGATCGCCTCTTATTAGAAGAAACCAAGGATGTACTTCTCAATGAGTCCTCGGGAATGTATGCTTGAGTCCCCATAACCTCGAACTTCATTTTTATTCTTACACGTTGATGAAAGGTTTCTCTGGGTCCATCTTCAGCTTGAGATTCTCTGGAGCACTTGTTTCACAGACGCCGAAGTTCGCTCAGCGTTGCGTCAACTGCCAAAGGATCTTGAGGAGACATATCGATATTGCGCCAACAGAATTAACACCCACGACACAAGAGCATTGAAAGTGCTGAAGTGGGTCGGCTTCGCGTCACGGCCTCTACATCTCGAAGAGTTAAGGGAAGCAGTAGCCTTTGAAAGAGAAGACACAGCATTTGACAGCAACAAGCTCCCTCAACGTGACTTCATCATTGGCTCTTGCGCTAATCTTGTGGTTCTAGACCCAATAGATCTCTGCGTCCGATTCGCCCATTCTTCGATCAAACAGTATTTGGTGAAAAATGGTCTTGCTGGCCTTCAGAGCGCCTTCAATGAACACTGCTTCGACGAAGAACAGGGAGAGCTTGATTGCGGAGAATTCTGCATTGCGTATCTCTGCTTCTCCAATTTCAGCCTTCAGCTTGAGCACAAATGCAATGTAACGAGAGAGGCGGTGGTCCCAAGCCCTGTACTATTTGCAGGCCCGGCACTGAACTCTTCTCTGAGATATCTTTTTCGGGTACCGGATAGCCCCAGGCCCCGGAGAACCCTACAGTTACGCACTATCCGCACATCGACCATCCCCGATCGAAGCCAGTACAAGTTCCTGAATTATGCCATAGTTAACTGGATTGGTCAGACGAGATTTCTCGCAAGAGACTCCGCCATGTGGGAGAAGTTCGAGAAGCTCGCGACGTGCTTTAATGAGACCTGGAATTTTCATCCATGGAAGCCTGGCGGCCGCTCCATCCGGTCTCAGTTACATAGTCTTTTCGGATGGGCTGTGCGAGACAATCACGAACCGCTTCTCTCGATAGCGCTCAACTGGAAGAAGGAGATCTTGCAGATTTGTAATCTCCCTCTAATCGATGACGGTCTTCCAGCACTCCATGTTGCCTCTAAGCTGGGGCACCACGACATTGCTCGAACGTTGATCAAGTTCTGCGATGTCAACATGTTAGATGGAGTGGGGTACACGCCTCTACATCACGCCGTCGCCCGTAGTGACACTGAGATGGCATCGTTACTGCTTAGCGCGAAAGAAGTCAACACAGACCCAGTATCGGTCAAATGCGGGACACCGCTTAGCTTAGCGGCGCAACTGGGGCTTTATGAGATGGCAGAACTCCTGATCCAACATGGAGCTGCTGTACAGGAACCCATCTGGGCGGCAATAGTGCACGGAAACGAAGAGATAATCAAGCTTCTGGTTCAGCATGGAGCCAGCGTGAACTACAAAGGCGAAAATGGCCAGTCTGTGCTCGATTACGCAGTCCGATCCAAGCACAAAAATATGCCGAAATTCCTACGCGGCCTGACGGAACAAAAGGTTCTTCTCCTTGGTAAGTGTGCTTTCTAGTCCCCAAGGTTCTGCTGCTGACAGCTTGCATAGGGGCTGGTGAGTCCGGCAAGTCAACAATTGCCAAGCAGATGAAGGTTCTATACATGCAAGGATACACACCGGAGGAATTGAGTCGGTACAGAACGACGATCTACAAAAATGTCCTCGAGTGCGCGGATGCGCTATTTACGGCGATGCTCGAGCTGGGACTACATCCACATAGCGAAGAGGCCAGATTGTATCGTCTACCAATGTCGAAGACGGGTCTGCTGCCGGATCAGACTCTCACGCCGGATGCCTGTGAATTGATATCCGCACTGTGGCACGATCCTGTCATCCCTTTGCTCATGGAGCAACGAACGAAGTTCTATTTAATGGATTCAGCACCTTAGTAGGATCCCAGACTATCAATTGCAGCCCAATCGCCGCTGACCTTTATCTAGCTTTCTCGATAACATAGAACGAATAGCCGCTGTAGGCTACCAACCCACGGAGGCAGACGCATTGCGTGCGCGGACGAAGACCACGGGGATATACGAAACCCGGGTTTCCATTGGTTATACCAATCTTCAGTACGCGCTCCTCCCAAGCACCGACATTTATCCAGCGACTAATCCTATCTAGTGTATTCGATGTTGGAGGCGTACGAAGCGAGCGCAAGAAGTGGGTCCACTGTTTTGAGCGCGTCTCAGCCATAATATTCTGTGTGGGGCTGAGTGAGTACGATCAGGTCCTGCTCGAGGACCCTGACCAGGTATGGCTCTCGATGTCATCGCAGAGCGTGGCAAGACTAATGCTGTTTACCCCCCTCCCAGAATCGCATGGTAGAGAGCCTACTGTTGTTCGATTCGGTCGTCAATTCGCGGTGGTTCCTGAAAACGAGCGTGATTCTTTTCTTGAACAAGGCCGACCTTTTCAGAGAAAAGCTACCGCGCTCGCCGCTCGAGAACACCTTCCCGGACTACAACGGTGGTGCTGACGTCAACAAAGCGGCCAAGTTTATCTTGTGGCAATTCAATCAGGTCAACCGCGCCCACCTCAACCTCTACCCGCATCTGGTCCAGGCGACGGATACCAGCAATATTAAACTTGTGCTCAAGATGGTCGAGGAGACAATCTCGCAGAATGCACTCCGGGAAGCTGGATTGGTGTAGGTGTGTTGATCGGTTGCGGTCGCGCATGGCATGCGAGTGGTCTTGCTCGCTATATAGGGAGCAAGTCGCCGACTGATGGCCAGATTCTCGCTGGCAAATGCGGAGGTCCCGGGTTCGACTCCTGCTTTCTGATGGTCGACCATAGTGGGTTTGGACAGTGATCAACTAAGGGGGCTTGCTTCTGCTGGCGTCGAGCTAACTCGTTAGTAGCGCACAGCCTGAACGAAGCATACGTCCTTTCCTCCGGGAAGGAAGAGCGAGAACACAGTCACCAGGAGGGAGAAGAAGTTGTTGAAAGCTTTTCCCTACATTACTCTAGAGCTGTGAAGATGAAAGAGGAAGAACACAGCGGTCAGACCTCGCCATAGAGACAGATGCAAGTCGTTCATCCCCGCAGCAAGGAAACTGACGAGTTCAAGCCGCCGTGCATTGGCAAAGCTGCAGGTCAGAGTTCAGCCACGAAGCTTGGGGATAAAGACTCATCCGGCGCAATATGCGGAAGTGCGGGGGGGAAGAGGGGAAAGCGGGGGTTTTTGATTGACTTGATGCTTCACCGCCGTCATATGAAAACCACACTCCATCAAAGTACCAAGGAAGATACTACCGGACTAAGATCCTGTGAGAGGTCAGATCCGACTGAACGCTTGCTTTTAGCTCACTCCCGGAGCGTGCGGTGAGCACAAAAGTGCGTGCCTTGAGCCACACCCGAGAGCCTGGCATCCCTCCAAGTGCAATTCTGGGAGAAGTTGACCATTTCCCTGAGCTTCCACTTATATTGACTACTATGTACTCATACTGTGACTTAAAGAAACTTGTGCAGAACTAGATCAAAAATGGTTGTTCTAGCCCCACAAACATATTTAACATTCTCAGGTCTCAAGCAAAAGGATCAGCCTCGATCGACTGTGTTGATCATTCCTAATATAATATATTCTCTATCGTGTTTATCTCTTTAGATACATTACAGTCACATTGCAGAGATTCATGATATATTTAAGGTAGTCGAGAGTAATGATACTGCGTTACTGAGCATAGCAGGAGCGGCCATAAAATTTGTCTGACAAAGAGACCATGTCTGTCATTGTAACTGGTAGCCGTTATTTTACCTATCTCCCTTCCTTGTCAATCTTCTTAACGCCCATATCAGGGTTTCTAGGACAAAGACTTGGTGCAAAGCTTTCTCTCTCACAATGCATTTCTTTCATCAGACAATACCAATATGAAGTACTCCGGCAGCCACTTTGGTTGATGTCATAAGTCTTCAATAAGATCCTCGTCTTAAGTGTTCCTCGACGACAAAGGAACCCTGAATCTATCTGCTATGGTGTTCCGGGGCCTTTTCAATGGACTGGGTTTCACACAATGCCCCTTTCTCACAATCATCAGATATATAATTCCGCTCAAAGCATCACGTCCAGATCCTCTCTCCTGATACACCCAACCCGAGTCTCTCAGGACCCTATCTGTTAATCAAGCACCCACAGCTACTTTCACCGAACCGATGAATCCAGGATCTCCTGTTGCAGTGGCCACCGAGGCCCCGGCCACGGGCATCTTCGAAGAGTGCCGCTACACCGTCACAAGGGAGCTGTTCCTCGGCGGCGATGGCGTGGACTTGGTGATCGAGACGTTGCGCCTGAATCACGAGGATATCGCGGACGCGGCCAACTGGCACACGCTCGCCGAACGTCTGCTGCGCGCGCGCTGGGACGAGTACCCGCTCTTCAACGGCGAGGCGCACCGCCGCGCCGCGGTCGTCATCCACCGCGACCGGGTGCGCATGTTCGTCGATGACCGCCCCTGCCACCCGGTAAGGCCCTTCATCTACCGGGATGAGATCGAATGGTATTCTGAGGCACCGTACGGCCCGGTGCGGCAGGCCTTGTTTCGCGCCCTCTGGGTTCCGACGGGGCCGATCTTGCTCCGCGAAGATGCGCCGTTGGGGCAGCAGTGAGTGTGTTGTGACTGAATGCCTCTAGACTAGGTTGATCTTTCCTTGGCTGTAGCCCTTGAAATGTGACAATTGATCAAAGATTAAAGACATATAGTTCAGAAGATCAAAATATACAGTGTCATGAGCCTGGGTATCGGGTGATTGATATTGCCTTTGAATTAATATACTCCGTGTTTACTATATGCCTCTGTAGTCATGAAAGTTGCCGAGGCCGAGTCATAGTCGATTTGACAGGTCAGTCAAGAAAATACCATTGAAAGTATTGAGAATCTCGTAGTCTTGATTACTGATAGACTGTGTAGCTCTACTGTATTGAATCAGACAGCATTGCTACTTCCTAATATACCCAAGATCCGCTCGAGAGATATCAGCTAGCACATTCTCCTAGTTTGAACTGGATTTCTTATTTTCTATGCATGGCTTAGAGCCTTGTTGCTAGTCACGTGAAGGATCGACCTGTCATAACTGGGCAGGAGCTCAAGGGTGCGTGCTCAGTAAGCGAGAAGTGAGTGTGCATTGTATACGCAGAGCTGACAGAGCTGAGGAAGTTATCTACAGCACAGCATCGCCGTACTGCAACTAATCAAACTCAGAAATAATCCTCCTGGTTCCGTTTTGCGGTAATTGACAACCCCCGCACACCTTGGTTGTGCCTGCAATTTTACTCTTTTGTGCACGTCATTATCCCGACCTCCGACCTCCGATGCCCGACTTCGCCGCCGCCCCTTTCCCTTTCCCACAATCTCCAATCCGTGCATCGCTGGAATTCCAGCGACAACGTTGGTTGCCCCACAACAAGTGCACTGGGGATTCTGCGAACTGGCTGGAACCGTGGTACGTAACCTGTGGTCGGGTGGATTGCAAACTCCCTGAATCTGGAGACCCCGCGCTTCTCCACACATCACCCCGGACTCGTGAGGGTTTTGTGGGGATGACAGAGGGTGAAGCTTTCGCAAGCTAACCTTGGACACAAGCTACTCTGTTGGGGTACAGTACGATTTTTTCGGGGCTACCTCGGTGTAATTTCTCTCGCCCTCTAGCCAAGGCATTCCGAAATGCAGAGTCTTCGCCCGGAGTTTCAGGAATAGTATCTCACTCCGATTGTACAGCCATCTCAAACTTCGTCCTATTCGAGCATTCGAAGTCAACTATCTCTGAGCCGAGAAACGCTGTGAACTGAGTGTCGGAGATTAGGTGATAACTTCCCAACGAGGACTAGTTCTACCCACGATGTGTGGGAATGGAGATGAATGGAGAAACAGTTTGTGGGGAATCATGCAGCTCTCTGTCGGAGTTGCGAAGCTAGACTGACGATCACACCTTTTTTTCATCAAGCTTCGGTCCAAGGGAAATGAGCATTGGCGGAGAAGGGACCCCCGAATGATATAAAACGTTGCGTCTCATCTGTCAGGGCTATCCATTCCCATCGCCAGCATCCTTTACCTCTCTACTCACTTCACCTCTTTCCTCACACCCTCCACCCAGAGATGCGTTCCTCGGTCTGGGTCCCCTTGACGGGGCTAGCAGCCCTCGCTCATGGAGCAAGCCTGAGCGACATCTGCACCACCAGCTACGCCACCACTGCATTCCCGGCCACCGACCTCATCCCCGGCATCACTCTCGACCCATCGTCCATCACCACCGCTCTCGTCACCAACAGCTCCGTCACGAGTGACTTCTACCCTTCCTCCGTCATCGACTACTGCAACGTCACGTTCGCATACTCGCACAATGGCCGCGACGACCAGGTCTATCTCCAGATCTGGCTGCCCGACCCGTCCATCTTCCAGAACCGGTGGCTGTCCACAGGAGGCGGTGGCTACGCGATCAACTCCGGATCCAGCTCGCTTCCTGGAGGCATCATCTACGGCGCCGCGTCGGGTCTCACCGACGGCGGCTTCGGGTCCTTCGATACCAATGCCGATGCCGCGATGCTGCTGGCCAATTACACCCTCGACTACGAGACCCTCTACATGTTCGCCTACAAGGCGCACTGGGAACTCACCAAGATCGGCAAGGCCTTCACCAGGAATGTCTACAACGTGACCGATGACGAGAAGCTGTATGCCTACTACCAGGGTTGCTCCGAGGGTGGTCGCGAGGGCTGGAGCCAGGTCCAGCGGTATGGCGACGAGTGGGACGGAGCTGCCATCGGCGCCCCAGGTAGGCGATCCCACACTTCCTGGCACCCTTCCCGAATCAAGCGCTTGCTAACCCTCATCGCCCAGCGTTCCGGTGGAGCTTCCAACAGACGCAGCACCTGTGGAGCAACGTCGTCGAGCAAACCCTAGACTACTACCCGCCGCCGTGCGAGCTGGAGAAGATCGTCAACGCGACCATCACGGCGTGCGACCCGCTCGACGGCAAGACGGACGGGGTGGTGGCGCGCTCCGACCTGTGCGCGCTGCACTTCAACATCAGCAGCCTGATCGGCGAGGCGTACTCGTGCGCCGCGACGGCGGGCAGCCGGTTCTCGAGCGCGACGCCGGCGCAGAACGGCACGGTGTCGGCGCAGGGCGTGCAGGTGGCGCAGACGATCCTGGACGGGGCGCATGACTCGGCCGGCAAGCGGGTGTACTTCTCGTACCAGCCGGCGGCGGCGTTCGACGACGCGGCGACGCAGTACAACAGCACGACCGGCGAGTGGGGGCTGGAGATCGACCAGCTGGGCGGCGAGCACATCGGCTTGCTGGTGTACGAGAACGGCACGACGCTCGACAGCCTGGCCGGCGTCACCTACGACACCCTCAAGGACTGGATGATCTCCGGCCTCCTGCAGTACTACAGCACCCTGCAGACCACCTGGCCCGACCTGACCCCCTTCCACGCCGCCGGCGGCAAGGTCATCCACTTCCACGGCGAGGCCGACGCCTCCATCCCCACCGCCTCCTCCGTCCGCTACTGGGAGTCCGTCCGCAGCGTCATGTACCCGTCCCTGTCGTACAACGCCAGCGCCGACGCCCTGAGCGACTGGTACCGCCTCTTCCTCGTGCCCGGCGCCGCCCACTGCGCCACCAACGACGCCATGCCCAACGGGCCCTTCCCGAACAAGAACCTCGAGGTCTTGATCGACTGGGTCGAGAATGGCGTCGTGCCGGTCACGCTGAACGGGACCGTGCTGCAGGGCGAGAACGAGGGCCAGGAGCAGCAGATCTGCGCGTGGCCGCTGCGGCCCCTCTGGAATGGGGACGACCTGGAGTGTGTCTATGACCAAGCTTCCATCGATACTTGGCACTTTGATTTGAATGCGGTGCCAATCCCGGTTTACTAGAAGCTGAATGCGGACTGTGGCAAATGCGGTGGAAGGAATGTGTATATAGTGATCCGGCTTTCGGGGGTGGATGAGAGGGAGTCCGTCAGCCTCAACGACCTGAAATTATCAATTTTGTGAAGGATTTTCTCCCCGAATTTGACAGTCGGGAGAACTGTCTCGTCGCCTGTAGCGAATCACAGATGAACAGTTCATCAAGATCTTGAGAATCCCTTGTTCTTATGGCATCCAGATCGACGGCTTCCTTTGTACCAAGAATATGTTTCCGCACCTTGCCCGCGCTGGCGCCAAGCCGTTCAAACCCCCATCAGCATTGAGTAGTGCATCGGTGCTACATCCGAAAAGTCACGTACAATCTCCAATTACAGTCATGATCTGTCTTGTTCCACATACATTTCCATTGTGCGGTGCGGAGGACACAAGGCCCTTTACCCTGTCGAACTGGATATGTCATGCTGAATGTTTTACCCAATCAAGCAGCCCCACCTGTGCCGAAGTTTACCCTGCCAATTGAATGGTGTACGTGCTGGACGTTATGCGCATACGTAGATCGGTCATGCCGATGATGCAACACGCAGCGGGCGATGTTACCCGATAGAGCAGCGAAGGATGGCTCCACCCCCACAGACAGACAACCGCATTATTGGATCTGAGGCAATTCCCAACCCCATACGGAGAGTTAATCATCAGGGCAAAAATATCTCCTGAATTTGCATGCGGGAGATCGGGCCGAGGGGCCGATTTCCAAGTGTTCTGCGTGTATACAAAAGGATGGAAAATCCCCGGATCTGTCACCACAGTATATACTGGCATGGCTGAGCAAGCTCGAGACATTGTCCAGGAATCCCACGCAACTCAGATATTCCGCGAAACTACACTTTTCGACATCTTCTAATCGAAGCAAGACACCCACCGCCAAAATGTCCTCGCCTCCTGAGATTGACTACGCATGGACACCCACCGCCGCCACCCGCTGGGAACGGCCCCTCGACGAAGCCGAGCAGTTCTACGCCTCCCTCGCCAAAGCGCACGAGGCCACCGGCCGCGTCTTCTTCGCCATGACCGGCTCGATCACCTTTTCCCTTCCCGTGAACAGGATGGACCGGCCTGACACGGCGCGCAGAATGGCGGATGCGCTGCGCCAGGCGTGGCTGCAGCTGCGCTACAACCATCCGACCATCGCCGCGCGGGTGGAGTACGTCCTGCCGCAGGGAAGGTGTAAGAAGGTGTACGAGACGTTCTCAGACGCGTACACGCCGGCGGACTGGCTGGAGGAGACGTTTCGCGTCGTCGACGCGGGCGTCACGGGCCAGGAGTGGTGTAACTCGGACCCGCCGGTGCCGGACTTGCCGACGCTGTTTCTCATCAAGGAGGGGTCAGGCCCGCACGACGAGGAAGGACGCGTGCGCGCGACCGTGGTGCTGAGGGCGCGACATGATCTCATCGATGGGGTGGGGACGCTGATGCTGTTCGAGAATCTGTTCCAGCATGCGGCGCGGGCGTACGAAACCAGCCCGTCGGGGTATACACCACCGAAGTTTGGCGGGGAGTGGGTGAATCTGAGTCCGCCGCTGCGAGTGGCGGCGGGGATCCCGGCGCGATTGAGCTCGGAGCAGGAAGCGCGCATGCGGGAGATTCTGGAGTTCAACGCTGCCCTTAAGAGGAAGGTGGAGATTGCGAGTGTGCCGTTCAATCGGCAGGCAAGCTTGCCGGGGAGACATCAGAGGGTGGCGATCGTGCTGTCCGCGGAGACGACCGCACGGGTGCTGGCGGCGTGCAAGGCGGCGGCGCTCAGCCTCACGCATGCCTATCACGCTGCTATCGCGCTCGGCGTGCGGGACGTCCAGGAGCGGCAGCCCGCGGCGCGAGTGGTTCGGTATCTCAATTACTGTCTCATCAATGAGCGCGGCCATTGCGCGGCGCCGTACAATGCCGCCGCCCATCCGGCCGCGGTGTACCACTCGGTCTCGGGGCGCGGGCTGGCGGTCGACCTGACTGTTCGTGCGTCGTCGGACTTGAGGGATCTGGTCTCCGAAGAGGCGAGGAGACAGGAGTTCATGGACACTGCAGGGACGATCCGGGATTTCTACCTCGGCATTCGCGATGATGCAGAGCACATTAATCTTGTTCCCTCGTACTGGGCGATGTCGACGATCCCTTATCCGGCGGATGGGAAGACCCCGCCGGTCCCGCCGCGGAATGAGACGCCGTCGGTCTCGATTTCCAGCATGGGCGTTCTGGACCGAGTGATCAGGCCGAATCAAGGGAGCTTCGAGCTGGAGGATCCTTGGGTGACGGGCGAGGAGCTGGGGACCGGCTTTGGGCTGTTCCTTGGGACATGGAAGGGGAGATTAACGCTGAGCGGGACGTACAATGACGCGTTTCATGCTAAAGAGGAGGTGCTGGGGTTCCTCCGCCGATGTAACCAGAGCACGCTTCAAGGCTTGGGGCTTGAGAAATCGGTTTGAGAGCGCCGGGAGTTCAAGGTGATCTCTGCCTATAGAGGAAACCATTGGTGCTAGAGAGGTGACTCAATATCAACGTAAAATTGCAGGATGCCCATGTCGTGTATCTGATAAGGAGCTTCCTCTTGCCTCAAAGGATGGGGTGAGCTAGAAATGTGTCAAAGGTGACGATCCATTCTCTTGCCAGGTCGAATATTCCGAGTAAAACCTCTTCCGCGAGAATCTGTCTAGAGACACAACCAAATGGTTTTTGAGATGACCATTACACTGACCCCGGCAAGTTGTGCTGCCTGCTCACTAGGATTCGACTTTTATGCTAGATGCCATGTCGCTTCGCTTGACGAGTGTATGCAGACCTTTCCATGGCTATTTGAGGTTTTGGGTCTCACCCATGTTACGCCTACTGTTTTCGATTATCTGGTGAAAAATTGCTTGCATGTCTATTGGTTCGGTAATGGCAGGGGAATCCATGCTGTGAATCTGCAATGCCGCTATGTAGTGTAACGCAGGTAGGCTTCCTCGTCACGTAATGAGACTCTTAGCACAATGCGCCGACTTTTGAAGATTCAGATCTGCGTGTCCAAGTCGTAGGCAAATGATCACATGATGAGTATCCGAGAGGTATCCGGCAAGATTTCAGTCCACTTTTTCGACGTCGATTCCCAAATAGTAGGCAAAGCGTCAATAGCTTTGGTGATATTTGCAAAGAGAGTATTCGAGTGAATGGCTCTCATGTAATAAGTGAAGAACGCGCGATGTTCTGGCTCCGTACTATCCGCCGCCGCGATAAAGCATGGCCAGACAAACCCGTGTGCTCCCGGATCGGTCGGATGTGCCTGAGCGATCAGCCGGCGCAGCTCTTCTCGCAGGTGCCATGAGCTTTCGTCCGATGTCATCCGCATCACGTAGATCTGAGCGCCAATAGTGAATGACCGCCTGGCCAGCCAGAGTGTTCTATTGTGCTGAGCGTCTGCAAGAACGCTGGACGGCAACCACACCCCGGAGTCCACTGGGTGGCTTAAAGTCTTGAGCCCCTCATCCTTGTTGAGTAGCGACCGACCCAAAAATGAGAACATGTCGGTCTGTTGTAGGAGAAACTCGTGCAATTGAGGGTGTCCCAGTGATTTGACATTCTTGGCCATGGTGAACAATGTATGGAGCAGGAACTTGTACTCCGGGCTGCCAGTTACTGTCTCCCCGACGAGGAGTACGAGCAGTGTTGCCCATGTAACCGGGCTGAACACCTGATCGGGCGAGGCGACGTTGGAGGCCCGCAACAAGCGAGATATGATGACGGAGCGATCTGCTTCTGCTGCCGCCTGTAATGCCGGTTGCCTGAGGCCAACGTGCTGAGCAGCCACCACGGTAACAGCGCGCTGCAGCACCTCATCCTGACAAGCCATCGGAAGGATGAAGTCACGATAGCCATTGGAGATATCCAGCAGAACCATGACCGGAGCGATGTTGTTGGCAAAATAGTGGAAGAGTCCACGGATTTGTGAGCTCAAAGGAGCGATCCAGGGCTGAATTGACTGGTCCGTCCTTCTGGTTAAGATTGCGACCTTGTCGGCACCGACATTCTCGACATCCTCTCCGGGCAATACCGCGGTCGCGGAATCCTGCGCGATGTTTGTCTTGTGTCTAGCAATCGTAGTCGACGTCGACGTCGTATGAATGGCATCTGTAGGTGTGCTGCGTGGCAGAAGACAATTCTCGAGTGACATCACAGAGGCCCGTTCGACGGTATCGCCTGGCGCACCGACTGGCACATTCGAGACCGGCTTCGAAGCATGGTTCTTCCTCACCCTTTTCTTCCTCTCATGAGACCATCGAATCTGCGAGACAATAGGGACGGATTGTTTATATACAGAGACCGGATCGACATTGAGGACAGGAATAGAGCTGCCCTTTAGTTTCCCACGCGTCGCGACCCCGTTGCCGAATCGAAAGCGGCCGAGGCCACTGCACTCAATCCCCTTCTTCAGGCATTTTTGACAGGTAGGTTCGGCCCTGTCGCAGACAATCCGTCGTTTGGTACATTGAAAGCATCCTGCCGTGGGAGGATAGACACAGTCAGTTCAAGGGTTGCATAGGGTGTTTCCATGAGGGCGCAATCCCACATACCACGAGTTTTGGTACTTTTGTCCGTGTCGGTTCCGGTCATCTAAACAAGTGAACTGGACTGGCAACCGATGAACCAATATCATTTGCTCATGTAGAAACCTTAGTCTGGATGCGACAAGCGCATGGGAGTGATTGGTGGAATGGTTAGATTGTCGATTTCTTTTCGATGATGAGCAGCAGTAGCAGAGTGAGAGAGGGAGATGAAGAGATAAGAGCGGAAAGCACAATCGTGCAGTGCAGATTATGGGATCCCCGGCCGTTCCCCGATCGCTTCCCCGTTTCGGGGCGGGATAACCTCCATCCGGTGTACGGTTTCCCCCGGGCAGCGGAGGATGACTAATCTTCTGCGTGTTCCTGGTCGGGTTTGCCTGTACAGTCAACATCCATGGATTGAATACATTTAACCGGAATGAAGATCATTGCTCCGTCCAGACTGCCATACTGATCATGTCAGTAGCACAAATCACGGTTGACTGTCCCTGTAGGGCACTCCACTGCCTATCTTTGCCGATCTGAGCTTGACAGAATCAAGCCTTTTGTGATCATCTCTTGGTGACACTTGACTAGGTTCGCGGGCTGACATGGGCCTGTGAGGGCCCTTGCAGTTGGGAGAATGTCATCAGACTGGTCATGTTTCAACCGCATTGTACCTCTGGACTTCTGCAACCCCGTCTGATGCGCATGCTGGACATTCCACCTTGAATAGAGTTCTCCCATAGGGTTCCTGCGATGGGTAGCGAAGCGGATGGCTTGAGCCACGCCGAGCGCTAAATTGCCTGCTCGGACTTGATTCCTCAACATGAAAGCTAACTTGAAAGTCAATATAAAATTCAAGGAGACCGACGGCGACGATAGCCACTCCCAGTAGGTGCCTGACCGAGTTGTGCACCCTATCATGGCGCGATATGAAGAGTGCCCCTCACCAGGCCAATCTCCTGCGGACTCCGACGCGCCTTGCTTGCTTATCGCTGGGTGGGCCTGCTGGCTGCACCAATCCCCAGCCAGGCTGACGCAAACCCCACTATCGGCAATATCCATCATGGACAATGGATCCACCCATTGTAGTTGACGGATGTGATGGTGGTGACGATGCTGCTGCTTGTTCCTGTCCTTCCCATGTCACCCGCATGTAGCACCAATGGTCTTTCACCTTCTCACGACTGCCCACACACCATTTGAGACAGTCCTGACGAAATGAAGGGAGATGAGTACAAGCTGCGCGCTAAAGTGTTAGTCTGCAGATTAATCTCCAAGCGAAAGTGACCGAGTCACCCGGCAGCATGAGGTCTTTCGCAGTGAGGTAGAAGTATAAGAACCACCCGCAATACCCCTCTCTCACAGTTCTCACCTTCATCCCCCTCAATTCTCTAAGCATTGTAACGGGCTCTTCCTTTATCACTTCTTTTCACAATGCGCTTCACCGCCGGTTCCCTGGCTGCTGCCACTCTCCTTGCGGGTGTTGTCTCAGCAGCCCCTGCCCCCGCCCGCAACGGTCTGAGCAAAAGGGTGTACAAGCCCACTGGCATTGCCAGCCGTGCGAGCAACAAGGCTTCGTCCAGTGTCTTGGAGCTGAAGAAGGTGAAGAGTAGTAGTGGTGCGAGCCGCAGCGCTTCCCGCCTGAAAAAAACTAGCTCTAGCACTACTACCTCCGGCAGCTCTACCCTGATCTCGCTCTTTGAGGGCGAGGAATTCGCTACCTCCATCACAGTCGGTGGGGCCTCTTTTGACGTGATCGTTGACACTGGTTCCAGTGATCTGTGGCTGGTGGAAGAGGGCTTCACCTGCTTGAACGAGAACGAGAAGCAGGTCTCCGAGACCACCTGCGCGTTCGGTACCACCTGGTCCCCCACGAGCTCCTTTGCGAAGATCTCCGGCGAGGAATTCTCCATCAGCTATGGCGACGGAGAGTTTGCCATCGGAGTTATGGGCAAGGATGAAGTCACGCTGGCCGGGATTAGCGTCGAGCAGGAGTTGGCCGGTGTCACCGAGGCATACTGGGAGGGAGATGGCACCACTTCCGGTCTCGTTGGTCTGGCCTACCCTGGCATGTAAGTTTCTCTTTAGCACCTTGAAGCTCTGCGGTTGGCGAATCACAAAAGGTTCTAACTTCGCTACCTCCAGCACGAGTGCCTACAGCACCAAAACCGAGCAGCAGGTGGAATACGACCCCATCATCACCACCCTGGTTGATGAAGGCCTCATCGACTCCTACTTCAGCATCGCCATCGAGCGCGATGTCTCCGGGGCTGCCGGCTATATCACCCTTGGCGGTCTTCCTCCCGTCAACTACACTGACACCTGGTCCTCCACCGATATCCTGGTGACCACCTACGATGGTCAGGACGAAGGCTACGCCTACTACACCATCGAGATCGACGCCGTCACTCTGAGCGGCAAGTCGCTCACCGCAGCCGGTGGCAGTAGCATCCAGTACATTGTCGACAGCGGCACGACCCTAAACTACTACCCGACTTCGATCGCGGCCGAAGTCAACGCTGCATTCTCCCCTGCCGCCACGTACAGTGAGGACGAGGGCGCCTACGTGGTCGACTGTGATGCCACAGCCCCCGCGCACGGAATCACCATCGGAGGAACCACCTACATCATCAACCCCTTGGACATGATTCTGGACGCTGGCACCGATGACAGTGGCAACACTGTCTGTATCTCGGGTATTGTCGACGGTGGCGACGACTACAGCGAGGATATCTTCATCCTTGGCGATGTCTTCCTGAAGAATGTGGTCGCCGTCTTTGATGTTGGTGACGTGGAGCTCAAGTTTGCTCCCAGAGAGTTCTACGACTCCAACGACACCTACTAAGGACCGTTGCAGCTTGAAAAGATGGGGCTTAGCGAGGTTGCTGTTGCTGTTTGTGTGAACAAAACATTAGTTGCTGGTTTACTTTCATCATGTGATACGATTTTGAGACTGCCGGTCGATTATATACTCGGTCTGTTGCTTGAGGGTACCGGCTGTGCCGGGCTATGTTAAATAATATGAAGTTCCGTGATTTGTGATCAATCAACGAAATTCATCATTTATCATTCTGCTATATGAGGATTTAAGAATTCCTAGTATTCAACCCGGAGAGCGCTGGCGGACCGAAATCGGAAGGCGCACCCGCGACTCGGGAGTATAAACCCCCCCCGTCCCTCGCCCCCGGGATTTCGCCTCTCTCCGCAGCGCCTATATCGATTGATCCTTGGCCCAATTGTGAAACACCAAGAGTCGGATATTGATGACTTCTCCAATCCTTTCTTCCGCCTGCAGTTCCTCCTCTGAGGTTCCCGAACACAGCTATGTGCCATTTCGCACCGACCGCACGGGCGTGGTTGACGTGGCCCGTCACAATAGCCGCCGCACGGGTTTCATCCAAGCCCGGATCGAGCAAAACATCGTTCAGGAAGCTGATGGGGACTGTCCAAAGCTTGCGTGCGGCCGTGTAGTCTTCGAATGTTACTGTTTTACTACACGTCCTGCTGCTGCTGCTGCTGCTGCCACCTTCACAAACGGTGATGGCCGCTCTTCTTTGGAGGGTGTCAATGCCGAACGTTGATGCGCGAGATCGTTCTGCATGGCCTTTTCCTTTGTAGGATGGGGGGATCGACCTTCATCAAACAAGCAAAGAGGGGTTCGCCAGTACAGTCGGGAGACATCACAAAAGGAGTCAATTGAACTCGAGATCCATGCTTGTGGTCAATCAAAATGCTGATCCGAACCTTATATCAGGAATGTACAGTACAAACTATACTCAGACCAGAAGCTAGTGTCCCTTGGCACCGTCCGATCCCACCCACAAACCCCACGACAGAAACTGCGGATGAGCTTCTCCACGCGCCAGAGGTTATGCCTGGGGTGGGTTTACCGATCCCACGAACTCCGGGCTCGGGAGTAAGCCGGAAATGAACACGCCATCCACTCACACGAGCTATATTTCATATCAAACACATATAATGCCCAAGAGAAGCTAGGAAGCATGAGGATGTCCACATGTATGAAGCTATTGCCGCTGCTCCGCGATCACCAACCCACTAGGGAAACCAGCGATTGCCAATCAACAGCAAGTGCACGCAGTGACTGCAGCAAGTTCCTAGATTACATCCCTACTCCTGCACAAACCAAAATCCCCGCTCAACTCCAGGTGCAATCCGACAAATCCTGGTGCGCACGATCACAGTTGGACTGGCCGGAGTGGGTATAGCACAAGCCAGCGATGCCCGCCGCCCACAAGGCTCCGCATTCCCACATCACAATTGCCAAGTCCCACAACTCGCGGATCTTCTGGTCCTGCGGGTACGCGATCTCCGCCGCGAGCACCGCTCCCACGTACTCACTCTCCAGTGGGAGCTGGTTGTCCGTCCCGTGCACGTACGTCAGCACCGGCCGGACCAGAAGATCGGCCACCCGCTGGGTTTCCATCAACGGGTTTGACGCCAGCAGTGCATTGAAGCGCGCCTCGGTCGCCGCGAAGGCGCGTTCTCCGCGTTCGACAGGTGTGCCGCACGCCCGGAAGTGCTCCAGGGTGGGTCGCGCAGTGGGAACTGTGGCCGCGATCGCCATGGCGTCGACACTCATGTCAGTCCGGCCGAGGAGGGTGATGGGTCGGTGGCGGCAGTTGGCGAGCTGCCACCAATGCGTGAAGAGGATGCACAACGCGGCCGGATTGTATGGGTCGTGGTCGCGATACCAGACCATGGCTCCCACCAAGCGCGAGTACACCTCCGCTAGGGGCCCTTCATTCAGCGAACCCTGTGACAATGTAGGTATGATATTGCTAATCTCGCCGCAGGCAAGATCAGCACCCAGGTCGATCCAGTCATGCACCACGCAGCCCAGACCCGCTATCGCGGCCATCTGCTCGCCGCCGCCGGAGTCGTAGTAGACATGGCAGAACACCGCATCCGCGAGTTTGTAGCGGGCCAGGCGCGCCAGGTCGTCCCAGACAACCATGCACGGCTGGGAGACGACTGTCGCGGTGTCCTCGATTATGGTCTTCTGGCGTAAACACCCGTAGTTGCATCCCTTGACGACACGGATGTCGGTGATGTGCGGCCCCACGGAGACGGCTGCCTCGGCGGTGGCCGCCACGTCGACAAAGGCACCAGCCAACTTCTCCGCCATGGCAGCGCTGTTCTTACCGATGGAGTAGTCGAGGACAAATGCCGAGTCCATGATCGCCCAGAGGCCAGAGATCGATCCCCCGTATACGCCTCGGTTGTAGCCCACGGCCATGGAGAAGATGCTCGTGTTGAGCAGCGGGCCAACGCAGTCTTCGACTGCCAGAACTTTAGTGGTGGTTGAGTCAAGCGACAACGCAACGCCACTCAGCTTGGGTGGGAGAGGTTTGCGGGCAACGCACCAGGTGGGCATTGGAGCTGCATGAACTACGGCAAACGGCAGGCGCTCCGTGACTCCCGTCGAAATCACCTTGTTCCGTGCTGCCAGGAAGACGGCGGCGTCGGCGAGTAGCCCTAGGGCACAGTCCACAGCGTCCGCCACGCGCGTGTTGCGCCCCCACGAGATGTTTGCCGCGGCGGTTAGAACCCCCCCGGTTTGCGGGGTATCAGGGCGATGGGCTAGGCTGATTGTCGTGACCAACGTATCGGTCTCAGCCAGGTAGTGCTGGGTGAATTTACTGGACCCCGCCTGCACCGGGCCGATGCCATGCGCCTTGAGCGACCAGCAGGGAGCGCCCAGGGGACTCTGCATCGTCGTCCCTTCGCCAAGCACATGGCTCGTACACCACGTGGATGTAAGCCGGACCGTGGCTGCAGGGTCTGCAGCTGAAGTCTCGCCGATACGGTCACCCCAATGTGAAACAACCGGTAGGCCATCGAACGCGGGCGAGCGACTGCGGCCTCCGCTGATCACCATTCCGGGCACGAGATCTGACAAGGGCTGGCCGGGGTTCTGTTTGGCACCAGGCAGCTGTATCTCCTTCGAACGAGCGAGGATCTGGTCAATCTGGACCTGATCCGTGCCATTAAACTTGCTGTCTTCCTTGTGTCCGGAAATCAAAGGTGAGGACCGCGTAGTGTGGGACATGAAGTCGGTGGCGTCCCGACAGGACATTCGTGTGCTGAACGAAGTCTGTTCATCAGCGCGCGGGTCGACCAGCCCCCCCAGCATCACCACCTCGGGCAGGCTCTCTGTGCGGGCAATGTAAGGCATGGTCACTCTGTACTCTATGTAACACGGTAAAGCTATGGCGAGCCCACTGCCGTTATATTCTTTGCGAGAACCCCTGGAAAGGACTTTGGCTGGTCTTTGTACTCACCATGACGACAGAGGCTTGGGGCTTGAAAAGCTCGCCATATGCTGATCGTTCAGTTGAATGCCTTTCGTGTCTGTGTACGCGGCATCAGCCTTACGCACATCTTCGACCTTATAGGTTTGAGCTGAAATCATGAACCGGAGTTTGTCCACGTATCAATCAAAAGCAAACAACCTTTGTCAGCCTCCGAACAGTCCAGACACAATTAGTGCATGGATTGCAAATCAGTTGCTTGTTTCGCCAGTTAGACAGCCCATGGAGTTGTCTCAGCAAGACATGCGATATGCATGTTTGCGCGTGAGTGACGGTGGTATGGCGTAATTGATATGACTCTCAGTCGTCTCCGCACGAAGGGATAAACTAGAGTCACACTAAGCGCCTAATCATCACAGCGTTCCAAGTCAGCTTGACTTAGGTCGGCCCTCAACTCGTATTTCTCTACATGGTGTAACCCTGCTATTCATTCACTGGCTTAATGATTTTTCTGACTCCTGACCTTCGAGGTGAGAGTGACGTAGTTTTCATAAAGCGGATCAGCCCCATTTGAATTGAGTCTGTAGTTCGGACCTTGACTGACTGACAGCAGTCGGTTTGAATTATCAAAGGCCCAAAAGAGATATAATTTCGGGCAGGCCACATGCGCACACACGCATTAACTAGCTATAATCTGTAGGTCTCTAACACTATCCTGAACAGCTCTCATACAACCACACCTTTTTCGCTTCACAAGAACAGACCATGACAGGTAGTGAAGCATCCATGGACTATGTCTCTACCTGAGTTGCGCTCAGGGTCTCTAAGACCATTTCAGTGCTCTTTAATCAAGCAATACATGTGACCCGGTGAGTAGTGACGACTCGAAGACTCGATCTTGAGGCATCGATTCGAGAGGATTCGATGTCCAGCCAACCTGGAAATCCTCTGCTTCAATCTCCATCGTTCCGCGGCGGAACAAAGATTTGTACCACTTCGCGCGACACCGCTCACGACGTGGTCTCATATCTGCTCGCCTGCCGAATTCGCGGCCCGTACACCCAGAAGATCCACGGAATGGGGGCCAGGAGAAGAGTCAACAGAGCCAGGAGAGTGGAGGCCCACCCCACCCTCAGAGCCTCAAACATCTGCAACGTGAACAAGGGAAAGGCACAACTCAGGAAATATCGACTGAACATCATCGCGCCGGAGGCGGAGGCACCATACAGGGGTCCGTAGGTGTCCAGCATGAAGAGCCCCGCGCCGGTATATATCAACAAGCAACTGAACATTGAAAGGCCCTGGAAGATGATGGGGACCATCCAGTGAACGCGGAAGTTGGCGGTCCAGCTGAGAATCAGCAGCGCCGCGGGCAGGAGCACACTGCCGATCATGGCTGAGACCAGGCGAGCCTCGGGAGGCATGCGAGCGTCTTGTCCATGCGTCTGCTTCCATGCACGGAGTCGTGGCTGGAAGTAGAACCGGTCGATCAGAACCTGGGGCAAGCAGGCGATCATATTGCCGAGGGTCACGCCGAGGTACGAAAGCGCCTGGCCCGTTCGGCCGAAGCCGTAGTAGTGGGCAAAGACCCACGAGATCGAGGTCACGAATGCGTAGAGGAGTCCGAAGAGGAGGCCGTTGTACAGGCTGACCAGGAACACAATCGGTTCGGTGAAGAGCATGTGCACCGGTCGCAGGAAAAGGACGACAATGAAGTGTCGGACGCCTTTGCCTGCCGTAGCCTCGGGCGAGGTGCTGTTCTTCACGCCCAATTGCTCTGCGCGGCGCCGTAGGATCACTGCCTTGTACGTCTCCTTGGTGAAAAAGGCTAGGCAGTAGAGCACTCCAGCCAGGATGATAGGAACCCATTGGGTCCATCTCCAGTCCTCAGTTCGGATCATCACGAAGCCTCCCGCGAGGGGGGCCACAGTCGCCGCCAGTGTCGGAATGGCATAGTAGACCGCGAGGACGGAGCCGCGATCCGTGTCATACGTATAGTCCAGGATTGTTGCTGACGCATTGCTGATGTTGGGGGAGCCAAATATTGCCCCGAAGAAACGACACAGAATTAGGCCCGAGATTGTTTGGGACACGGCGGCGCCCACCATGAACAGAATGAATATAGGGGTAGTCGCGAGATAGACGGTTTTGCGCCCATATTTTTCGGACAGAGGAGCCCCTACAATAGGCCCGAATGCCATTCCAAGATTGTTCAACGAGAGAGGTAGCATTGCCACCTCGGAGCTGCAGTTCATCGCCTTCATCACATCCTCCTGCGCCGGTGCATAGATCGCGCCCGCAAAAGCACTCACGAATGCCAACAAGGTCACACTAGAAATGCCTAGTAGCTTGGTGCCGAATGGAAAGTTCCGCGGGTTGTCGGGGTCGTTTGGTCCATTCCAGTCCATTGGTCGGTCATCCTGGAGGTTGCTCATGTCTTCGGTCTCACATTTCATGTTTTATGCCGGTGCTCGCTCGCTCCCAGAAGCCCAACAATGCAAGGGGGGAGGGTGGAGGGGAGCAGTGATATACTTATTGCATAATTTACTTTTCTCTAGAAGGATTCAGAGGTAACAGCAGTAGTGATTAAGTGCCCAAACAAAATCTATACGGGTGTGAAGATGTTCGGACATCAATGTCCGAGCTGCCACTGGCAATGTGGAGCCGTTCACAGCTCCAGCTCGAATACTCACAGCAACCGAACAATTTCCACCAACTATTGTCAGGGGGTGGGTCAATTGCCTGATAAACCAGATTCACAGCTGCTTGAGCATGAACAATGCTGGTATCAATCAAGGGAACCTCACTGTCGCTTTGATCAATCAGCAATCCAAACTCTATACTATACAGTACATCCCAAAATGACCAGTTCCGCTCCTTGGTCGACAAGATCGGCGATCGCCGCCCGAAAGACATTTCTGGTCAACTCCCCATACAAAGCATTGTCAACATTCTCCTCGTGTTCTCCCTGGGCTACCAAAACATTGAGTTCGTACTGCTGCTGCAAGCGCCCGACAAAGTATGTTCCCGTCAGGGTGTATCGGCTGGCCCAAAAGCCCTAGGGTCTTCACGCCGCACTCCACCACCTCCTGCGTATTGGCATCCACAATGTGCAACATCGGAAGATCCACGTTATTCATGATGTATTCGGCGGCTGTGGCCCCATCTGCTTTGGGCGTCGGGACTTCCCCAGTGAGGATCCTTCCGACTCTTTCCCAGTCGCCTTCCCTTTGAGCTTTCTCAATCACCGCAAAGTCTGTCTGTACCATGACTAGACATGGACCACGACTTTCAATGCTGTTGGTGCGCTCTCTGTAGTGCTCTTTGATAGTCCTGTAGTAGACCAACGAGCTTGGCCATGCGATGCCCCCGACAATGCCGATCGTCTGCATTGTGCCTTATCTTATTGATATTAGCCGATCTCGGGTGAATAACAGGTCACTTGAGGCTTACACATTTGCGTTTTGGGGAAAGTCAAGGGTCCGAGAAAGAAAGGCCGGTTGAGAGCCGGTCGTTTGTGCAATGAGTGGGAAAGACGCACTCTATATACCTGCTGTAGCTGTTTTTCTGAGACCGCACATACGTCACGTCATGTACTACTCAGGTAGTGAATATGGCAACTGATACCAATAGTGCTCTATCTACTTCTATAGCAAGCTGGTCGGTCATCAATACTTCTTTCTGCACTTTTACACGCTTCGTTGGATTCAACAACCTTTACAAGATCCACCCTTCGGCCACCCCTACCCACCCTGGCATCATTTCTTAACCACCTTGTTTATTTCTCCCTCTGTCTCCTAGACAGTTAGTTTATGTTGATAGCACCAGATGAATGTATGCAAGGTGGTATGTCCGAGCGGCTAAAGCTTGGCGCGGGATTAAGGGATGTCCGAGATCCGGCTTTGCCGATCGGACATGCATTGAAGTCCGCGATGATGTGACTTTCTTCCGTCTGCAACACACAACACTGCATCACGGAACTTGTTGCACGTTCTCGGACTTGCCTCTAAGGATCAAAGCTACGCTTTCCTGGGACAACTTACAACTTGCAGCATGCGGGATAGGTCTTCGATTCAGAGACGGCCATCTCCAGTCTCACCGGCGGACCCCACATGTCGGACATGCAAAAATTGTCGCCGCCGAAAGGTCAGACCCGATTCTTCACCCACTCGACAGTGTAGTACAGTCATTCATTATGGACCCGCTTACAAGACATCACAGGTCAAATGTAATGGCCACCATCCACAGTGTGCAGCCTGCCAGCGTAAGAACTTAGAGTGCGTCTATCCACGCGATGAACGGAGAACCGCCCACCGCGTAAAAAAGGCCAACGTGCGGGCTTTAGAGAAGCAAGTTGAGGTTCTTCAGGAGAGACTGGGAAGTGTGGCAGACGGATCCGCCGCTGCGAGCCCTTTGATCACGGAGTCCGTTCATCGACAAAGCTCGCAGCTAGATAATAGTTCGCTTTCTATCGAAACCCAATCCCCTTCCCACCGCAGAGCGCAAGAAGAACCCATTGCGATACCTTCGCCTGAGGCGAGCATAGCGGATAACGGACCCCAAGTCTACGGTGCGACAAGCTTACTCCATGATCAGTCGTCCGACACGCCGCTGGCGAATCTTCAGCTCAGACAATCGACAGTGCAATACCTGCCAGCGGAGACTGTCCAGGACCAGCTGATTGCTTACGCAGCGCTGCGCAGACAGGAGGAGTTGGCTTTGAGGTCGACGCCTAGCCTCACAGTCCACGTTGACTTCGATGGCGTGCCGGCAGATCTAGCATTGCATCTACTGGAACTACACTGGAATCGCCAGCACCTATCCTATCTGCTAACGTATCGACCAGCGATTATGGATAGCCTGATGACCAATGGCCCCTTTGTGAACAAATTGCTTCTGAACGCAATCTATTTGCAGAGCAGTCTATACAGCGACCGCCCCTCGTCATCGTTCGATCATCATCAACCCCCTAATGCGAAGGGCCTGGTCTTTCATGAGCGCTTCAAGCAGCTCTTACCCCAATACATCGATGAGCCTTCCCTTCCGACCGTGATAGCGCTGTTGACCAGCGGGGCGTGCTTGGTGCCGTACGGCCGCCAGAGCGCAGGCTGGGCCCTCTCCGGCATGGGCTATCAGATGATCATCGACCTGGGCTGTCACCTCGAATGTCCCGCCACGTCCAGAGCGAGTGCGATCGAACAGGAGATGAAGAAACGGGTGTATTGGGGGGCATTTGTGAGCGACAAGTTCCAGTCACTATTCCTGGGCCGACCGCCCGCAATGCGAGAGACCAGCGGGAATGTCTCGCGCGAATTTCTGGACACCTTCGAAGAACTGGATGAGTGGAAGCCGTATATCGATCCCTTGGAGCATCTCCCGTCAGCTGTCCCTCAAGCATACCCGGGTCGGCCGACGTACGCGATCAGCACGTTTCAAGTGCTGTTGCAACTTTGCATGATCGCAGGGGACGTCGTTGATGCCTTTTACTCCGTAAGGAGCTCATCGCAGCCCGAGACGACGCTCCTTAAAACAAAAGACCGCATCGCAACGCAACTCCATCAATGGCAAGATACCCTCCCCGCCTCGCTACGATTCGAACCGGGCCTGGACGCCACGCGCCCGCCGCACCAGCTCACCCCACAGTGAGCATCCCCTCTTAAACTCCTCGCGTTGAACACTAACAAGTATCCCGAAAGTGCTCTCCACTGGACTCTGGTGATCTTGACCGAGCAAGCATTCTTGCGCCCTGGCCACTTCCCCTTCGCCTTGCCCCCCGCCGCAGCGGAAGAATCCCGACAGCGGTGTCGGGAGGCCGCGCTGAAGATCTGGAAGCTCGTAGAGGCGTATCAGCAAACCTTCACCCTCCGACGCGCGCAGTATGGCATAGCCTATGCGACGTACTGTGCCGTGGTCGTCATGCTCCAGCACACCCGCAACGTCGACGATGACGTGCACTGCATCCGCTTCTTCTGGTCCGCCCTGCTGGAGTACCAGAAGGGGTGCTCGTATGGCCTGAAGCGACCGTTGAAACTGCTGAGGTCGCTCATGCGCCGGCTGGAGTCGGTGGCGAATCTGCTCGAGGCGGAGGACCGGGCGGCGGATGGGGCCGCGCCTACTGGTGAGTAGTACGGCTGCCTTACGTCTCCGTTATCAAAATCTCTAAGTCCATCTTCCTAGTGGGGTTCGACTCTGCAGCGGATGCGGGTCTGCATTGGCCACTGGAGGCGGAAGCATGGGATTCTTCGATGTTGAATGCTCTGCCAGATGACTTTTTCCTGGCGGACGAGTCGATGTTTGGTATGTTTGGGGGATAAATGCTCACAACAGCATCAAGTACGTGGTGTTTTCCATTCAATTTCTAGGGCTTTTTCTGGAGAGGGTTTAAGCTATCATGTTGTTGTCGGACATGTCCAACGGATTTCTCTAAGATTGGAGACAGTCACGCGCCGGGGCAAGAGAGTGGAAATGCCGAGGATATTCCCATATGCCAATGATTTAAGCTGGGACCTTCACCGCTGGCCGTTAGCATGCCCACTAAGGCTCCAACACTTCCGGCACAGTCCCTGTTTATGTCTGTTTCCCCAACCCGCTCAGGAAGAGAGTTCGCTCCACGTGACATTCGGCCGGCCGTTTCAAACATTACGACGGACGGGAAGGCTTGTCGCGCTGATAGGTTACCGGAGGTATAGTATTATCGCTATAGTCTGTTGTCTAACTTGATGGATAATCATTCTGCCTCCACGCCAAGGGCCAATGAGGGCACACCCGCCAATAGGCTGCAGCCAGCTCTTCTGGCTGATTTTCCCGGTGAGTGTCCACGGTGTGTGCTGGTCCGGATTTTCCGGGGCGTGGGACATGAACCCTTTACGACTGGAATTAACGTCAGCCCTGGAAGGGTCTTTCCACTCTAGCCTCAAACACACACAAGTGCGGTACAACACCGTTGACTAGAATAGTCATGTGGTGAATGTTTGATCCGTGCCATTGAATTGTAATCATATGTCTCATTGCAAAAAAGAATTTGCTAGATTATGAAGTAGACGACCCATCTCCATGATGGAATGGAAAAAGCAAGGGCTCCGAGTAGCCCATACACCGCACCCTACGCTTGAAAGAAAGAAAGAAAGAAATTTATTCACGCCAACGAGCAGCAGCAGCAGCAGCAGCAGCATCAAACTTCTGACCGCTGCAGAATTCTCATGGGCTATTCATGCCGCTATCTCACCTCCCAGCCGACGGACCATCCCCGGATAGTTCATACAGGTGGGTGCTCTTCCGCTTCGCGTCCTCCGACAGCTCGTATCGCTGCCACATCTCCGGTCTCATCTCGGTCGGGCTGTTGGGCTCTCGCGGCGTGGGAGCGCTGGAGTCCAGCATCATCCCGTTGTGATCCCGCTGTGCGCGACGCGACCGTTTGCGGACCAGAAGAAACGCGGCCGCAGCGAGGCTGATTGCCGCGATGGGAACACAGACGCCGATAGCGGCCTTGCTGCCTGTGCTTAGCGAGCTGGAGGCCTTGCTGGTGGATGCCTGGGTCTGATTTGGCGATGGTGTGGATGGTACGCTGGTGGTTTCTGTTGTTGATGTAGCGACGGGGCTGGGCGTGGTCGTTACGAAGGCAGCTGGGGCGGCAGTGCTTGTCGTGTAGGAGGTCGTAGCTGAGAGGGTCGATGCTGTGGTGGATACTGAGAATGTGTCAGTGTGATTCAATGGGACAGTGACTAATAAGAGAGGAGGCAAGTACATGTGCTAGCAGACTGAACTGGCTCGGTTGTCGTTGTCCCGGTCGCGTTGAACATGCAGTAGCTGTGGAAGACCGCTAACGCCGTCGAGATCTGGTTCTCTGAGTTTGTTCCGCAATTCGATTCGACGCCGGAGGAGATGATGTGATTGAACTCGGAGGAGCTGGCGGTGCAAAAGCAGCTGTAGGATGTGTATTTGCCCCCGTCACCGCAGCCAGACACCATGTCCCGGACGACACTGCTGAGCGGGGCGACCGCACATTGTGACAAGGATGAATAGTCGGCTACCTTGTTAATGTAGTAGGTCGTTGTGCATTGGGCTGAGATTGACAGCGATAATGCGAGAAGAGCGTGCAGAGAACTCTTCCTGTTCTGGCTCAACATCGTGCTGTTAGAACTCAGTCTGGCTAAAACCAGGGAAAAGGGTTCAAATTAGAGACTGGGGCATGAATGTGGGGGCGCCTTTTCTATATAAAGGTATGACAGGAATCGAGGGTTAAGAAAAACAAGATGTTTGTTGGGGGCGATGGCCCCATTGCCAGCACGGGATAGTCGGGCTGTCTTCAGAATCGGTCACTGAGCCCTAACATCCGGACGGAAATGAAGGATCGCCGCCACGCCCAGGCACGAGGCGTTGATTGGTCTTCCCAAAGCAGAAGTATGTTGCGATTGGTGGATCGGAGCCTTCAGCTCGCGACATGACTCGGGCTTCAAATCCAGGGTTCTTCGGCTTGACTCGCATACTCTTACGATTCAGCTTTGGCATAGCCCCGTAGAGACATTGTTGGATACCAACATATTCGGCCATTTCGTTCCAGCAGTATAAATGGGGTCGACCACCTGGTTGGGAGCTATCAATTCGAGAATTGCAGCTCATTCCATCCTCGCATACGGAGCATTCGTCGGCAAAATGCGCGGTCTTACCTCTATCCCCTTAATGGCTTTGGCCGTCCGTGGCTGTGTCGGTTCCCCACTTAGCGACATCAATCACAAAAGGGTAGGCTTGCAGTCTTAATGCCACATGTTATAACCTACTAACATCAACCAGGAGTCAGACTCCTTGGGTGAAAGCCTGGGCATCAAGGCGGACTCCATGATCAGCTATGACGGGATCTACTTCGGCTGGGCTCCCAACTACAGCCCCCGGGTCACCATGACCGACCTCAATGAAGCGACGGGCCAAAAGGGCGCCACGTAAGTGTGGTGACAGCATTCTGCGATTGCAAGGCTCACACTCGATGTAGCTACAATGTCTACTCACAGATCACCCAGGACAATGTGAACTCGGGGTCGTATGATGGCAACGATCAATACCCGGTGGACGATATCATTGCCTCCGGGGCCGTTCTGATCGCGTCCCTAATGCCAAAGGTCGACTGGGAGGACATCACCCCAGAGCTCTGTGAATCGGTCGCTTCATACTTCAAAGAGACCTTCACTAGCAAAGGTGTCACCGTCTGGCTTCGCTATGCCCATGAAATGAACTACTACGCCGATCCTAGTGTCGTGGTTTATCCTGGTGGCCGTAAGTACTTTCCCCAAACCTTTTCCTCCCGCAGGGCAAGACTAACAGCCGATGCCGGATAACAGGTGACTACGCCGCCTTCAACCAGACCTGGAAAGATATGTATACAGCTACGGAGTCCAACGACATGATTTACATGTTCTGGTCGCCGAATGTCGATACGGACTCGGAGCCCATCGCTCCTTGGTGGCCTGGTAAGGAGTACGTCGACATTGTCGGAATGGACTACTACCCTGAAGGTGATGCTCTTCCGGACTTCGCCACCGCCTATGGGAGCTTCTACGACACCTATGCCAAGGGGTATAGCCTGCCGTTTGCTATTGCCGAGACTGGCACACAGCTGAACAACGGCGCCGCTACCACGGCCCAGAAGCAGCAGTGGCTGAAGAGCATCATCAACCCGTCGGAAGGACTCGGTGACTATAGCGAATACTATGTCAGCTGTACCTGGTTCGAGTATGGCCCACCTGCCAACAACATTGACTTCTATATTGTGTACAACCAGACGGAGAGTGCGGTGCTGGAGACCATTTCCAACACTGAGAATGGGTCTTAACCATGTTGACGCTGTCAGACATAGCCCTGACTTTGGTCTGTCGAAGTTTTTGCTTGAGACTCGGACTAGGATCCATTGACTACTGTGGGACTGTATATTTTGCATGATTGCTGTATGTATTGTAAAGCAAATAGAGATATTATACATATATTAGGGAAATACGAATGTCAAGAGCAATTTAGACTTGAAACAACATGCTTTCATCACCATCTCTAACGTGTGGGAGGTAACCCTGATAAGAGATTGATTATAGTAAAAGCCACACTATTGTGACTGAGAAACCCCCTGCAGTCTATGTATGTGTTCCCTGGTTCTAATGCGGTGACGGTATAGAATAGACTCCGGTTTCCCCGTAGTGTGGGTCACCCTCAGGCAGATTCAGCCTTGCCTTGAAAGCGTGCTCGTTCATTCTGCGTCCAGAATGGGAAACTGGTCTTTGAGGCCCCCGAGGCCGGGTCCGGGCTATGGAGGGATCCATGGCTCTGGTATCCTTCAGGCACCGCGCTAGCGACATGAGACCTCTTTCGGTTAGTCTCTTCGGGGTTTGAACGTGCATCGGGCGGAGTCTACCAGAAAGGCATAGTCTCAGGCACAATCCAGGCTGCCGGCATCAAATCTTACAATACGAACTGTAGCGACCAGTCACCGAGTTTGCACAACACCACAACGGCAGTGAAATGCTCTTGGCAGCCTTGCGACTTCATCGTTGCATCGTCCGGCCGGACATCCAGCCATTAAGCCATTAAGCCACGAGCAGCGTGGCAATTGGTGTCAAGAATGAGTATAAAGTTGCAAGAGATTCGTGAAGTGCTGGATCTGGGCTCGCATTGCTGTCGTACTATCACGATATAGATTTTGACCCAAGAATCATCCATAAGAATGCTGGACTGGAATATCCCAAGCAGTCAGTCGAGCTGCCAAGCGCAGGGTTACAACGTAACCTGCAATTTCGCCCTGTACACCAATGCTACTGACCTGACCACTGCTCAAAAGCTGAGCCCAAACACGTCTATCACCGGGCCTGGGGTACATTGCGCGATCCTTGCATAAGCTGAACTATGACTGACAGTGCACAGCTAGTCAAAGCCTTCATCATCACCTCGGTCGTGGCCATAGGAGCCGCCTTCGTCCTGCTCATCGACAAGGCCTGCATCTACTGGAACCAGTACAGAGACACGGACAACGCGATAAGAGAGTGTGTACCAACTCTGCTAGAGCCCGAAAAGGCTCACCACCTCGAACCCGAGCTAATGATACAATCTTTTCACAGAACGAGATACTACCGGCGTATCGCCCACACCGTCGAGCAGCTCCTGCACACCCTCAGCGACCAACAACTCACAACCGGCTTTGCCCTGATCTTCGCCCTGAGCGAGCAGGCGTGTACCATTTCCGCCTACCACTACGACCTCGTCTGCGCCATGCTGCTCATGTCCTTCGTCACCCACCTCAACACCCTAGTCAGCATCCCCACTTTCATCCACAAGGGCAAGCTCCTCGCCCTCTACCGGTGCGCAGCCCTGATCGCGCAGGTCGTTCTCATCAGTATCATCTTCTCCGCCCGCAACCGCGCCGCCTTCCCCGTCCGGCCCAGCTCGTTGGCCATCATGCCCGCCTGCTGCCTCATGAACATGAACGCCAGCGACTGGCTCGGCCTCGCTGAGGCGGGGGAGTTCGTCTCCCGCCTCAACTCGACCGAAAACAATACCAGCGGGACGGAGATCTTCTCCCAAGCCGGACAGTCCAGTGCGTTCGGGCAGTACATCGCTCTGATCGTTTTCACGGGGTTCACGGCCGTGATCGCCGGGGTCAACTGGCTGGAGGCGCGGGAGGTGGATCTGCACCGGTGGCTGCGGTGGGTAAAACTGTTCGTGGCCGCGGCGGTCTCGGTGGCGACGCTGGCGCTGACGGTCTGGGCGTACCAGACGTATAACTCGCTGCGGGCGGGAATGGAGGTCGAGGAGTGGTATCAACTGAGCAAAGAGACGACGGCGTGGACGTTTGCGGAGATCGTTCCGCTGGCGCTGTTGGCGTCGACGTCGATCACCCTCGTGAAAGCGTTAACACGTGAGTATCCTCGAGCATTTTTCTGACGTTTGAGATTGGATGCTGATGATGTGGTTAGAAACGCTGGAAGGGGTGGACGGACCGCGCTACGAGGGCTTGGTGCAGGTCGGGGTTAAAAGGGTGGCGGTCGAGGTGAGAGAGGAGAATTGATCTTTCGTCGGAGGCGTCGCGGTCTCCTCATTGTCTTACCTTGGATGCAGGCAAAATGGTGGTTGGGACAGGTAGTCATTAAGATTCGTCTTGGAGAAGAGTCTCGGGCGGGCTGCAGAGTCCTCCTCACGCTTTCATATTCACTTCTCTCATCTTCTTGGTTCTATCGATCGATCGAGCAAGTACACTTCGTCCTCAAGACATACTCTGAGGGCGTTGTTGGCACTCTGCCTCCCGTTGCTGCGGATGATTGTACTTCATCACAAAGACATCTGCTCATGAATCGAGTATACTACGTCAGAGGGCAATGATCAGAGCACTGGGCACCTATATTACTGAGCGTGATCAACGTACTGACACAGGTGGCTTGTTTGCCTCTGATGCACCTCCCTTCTAGGTTGTAAGGATGCCAACCCTTGAAGATGACAAGCGATCGGACGGAAGATGAAAGGACTCGGCCGGCACTCCCCCGACAGACTGGACCAAGGCTACCAAGCAGCCTTGGCTTGGACCCCTCCAGGAAGCTTAATCTCTGGGCACGTCAGCCAGGTGGCTCTGCCAGCCGCTATCGGCCATTTATATAGAGCTGGCATATGGCCTCGGTGCCCCATTTCAAACATGCTGATTGGTCAAAGTTTACACAGTCCTCATTGAGAAGTGGAGGATGCACAGCCCTTCGCGACTGTTGCTCGATAGAGTATGCAGTATGCAGTATCCAATACGCAAAAGAGTAAGCATCATCGCCGGGTGGACTATACGGCCCTGCGATATGGAGCCGAGATAAACACCAGCATAACTCCGCGCCCCCTCCCCTATCCAGAAGTCCCCAAAACCAAAGCATATCAACCATCAAATTACACTCACCCCCAAGACATGGCCCGCTACGAAGACGGCTACGACCCTCATTACGGCTACAACATCAACGCCTTCAAATACCAACCGATCCACCTACTCGCGATCAACAAAGTCGTCAAGCTAATCGCCGGGCCCTTCGGACTCGCCCTCGCCAGCGAAGCCATCCACGAACACCGTAGCAAGAAAGCTCAGAAGGAAAATGATCCCGTGCTGGTCCAACTGCCTCCGCAGCACGCGGACCGACTAATTGCAAGCGGGCATGCGATCCCCACCGAAGAGGAGGAACCCACACATACCCTGGTCGACTACGACGAGCAGGACTGGGCGCTGGATGATATGCTGGTCTCCGACGATGAATAGGCACCCATGGAAAACGAACAGCAGAATCAGCGCCAACCGCCCGGGAAAAGCTCGCCTTCCCCGTGATCCTCCCGCAGCGCCGCCCGCGAACCAAAACCCGCGGGTTCGTGCACGCCTACGCCCCCGGCTGGCAGGATGCGGGCATCAATCAGGCCACCTTCCTTCGGTTTCTGAAGGACCTTCACACGCATACGCAGGCGTCGCCCGTTCTGGAGGTCCTCAGTATCGCTGCGGGGATTGCGGGCGTGTATCCCGATCTGCTGATTGCGGGCGTGGTGCAGACGGTGCAGATTGCTGCCACGGCAGGGCGGGAAATACAGGAACGGTGGAGCACGAATCGGTTCCTGGATCAGATGAATCGGGAGATGTTCATGCCGCGCGGCCTGTATGCGTTGATCGTGCAGTATGAGTCTACGACCAGAGAGAATACGGAGGTCGGGACGAAGACGGTGGACCTGGGGGCTCAGGCAGTCACCCAGTATGGTGGTTCGTTTGCGGCGGATGCGCCGGCTGGGGAGCAAAAAGGATGGAAGGAGAAGACGACGAAGCGGCTCCGTCAGACGACTGGGAAGACTCATGGCGAGGCGGGGATGCCGCTCATGTGTGCGCCGTTGGTGTTTCCGGGGATCGAGCAGGTGGCGCATGAGATGATCGACGGGTATGCGCAGGGCAGCGAGTCCGCCAGCAACGCAGCGCTCAGGTTCAAGGATAAGGCCAAGGGGGCGAGTAAGCGGCTTGCCGACTATTTCGACCGTCGCGCGCAAGCAGATTTTGTATGTTGTGATGCAGCCGTTGCTTTTTGACTCACCAGCCAACTAATGACGGTCACACAGGCATTCGACAATCCAAACTCAACGCTCGTGAGGGCCATGGGCGATGCAGCGCCGCAGTTCAAGTCCAAGTTGAGTGACCCGAACGATCAGCGAAACAAGCATCTGGCTACTCTCGTCGCCGGGGGGAAGCTGCGAGCAGAGCCGTGAGTTTTCTTCTTGTTCATGTGATTTAAGGGACTTGATCTGGCTTGGACGGACTCGGTGCGAAACGGCGGTGGGAAAAGGCGCAACGCAAACTAGACAAGCAAAGAGTTCAAGGTTTGAAGGAAAGGCCTCAGAAGCGCCTGTTACAGGAGGATGTGTTATACTGTACCTCATGGTGATGAATATGCCCACAGAAGCTGAGCTTGAGAAGGCAAGGCGAGATTTGCAGGCAGCGGCAGCCCTGAAGGAGAGAATCTGAATGCTTTGCCTTCTAATTTATGCTTACAGTGCAGCCAAGAGAACAGTATACCCCCTTATCTTACTCCTATGTCAATTGATTGTTGAGCAACATTCATAGTAATGCAGACCAATCGGTTGAGAATAATACATAAGTGCTTCACCTGTATCTAATCTTCCTAGGCAGCGAAGGTATGACCTGATATTCTGATCTATCATGTACTGTGTAGGTTTCTCTCAATCAGCATTCTGTTTGGGCTGTGTAAGCGTGGCTTGTTCAGCGCACTGACAAGTGGGTCGAATTATTCATAACTAGCCCGAAAGGGCAAAGCCGAGGTATACCACATTGCCAGCATCAGTTGTTTTTCCCAACGACCCACTCACTGCAAAAACAGTGGCCACAAAGTCTCAACAGGCTGACGGACCACGGTAGACTAGCTTGATAAATAGTGATTCTTTTCTCTTTTTGCATCCAGCTCAACAACCTTCAATACACTCTGGACTGATATAAAGAGAGAAGAAACAAGCCTGCTCAGCTCATAATTATTCATTTCTTGCTAAAAGACAAAGCAAGAAAAGAAGACAAAAAAAAATACACTTCACACGCATCAACATCACAGATTCGATCCTTAGACCAACCAGAAAAAACAAATACCCCCCCCCCCCCTCGCAATAGCTCTCCCACAACACACGATGCCCCCCAAATCAGTCACATTCCCGGGGTTCACCCCATTATCAGACCGAATCTTTATCCGCAATGGCAACGACACTAGCAAACCCGCACCCCCTGAGCACCCTACCACAATCATCATCTTCGGCTGGGGTGATGGCATGCCCAAACACGTCTCCAAATATGTGGACGGCTTCCACAGTCTTTACCCCTGCAGTCGCATCCTCGTCGCCCTTTCCAAGACCCTCCAAGCGTCCAACCAACCCCTAAATGACCGCATCCAAGCCATGATGCCCATTATCGATACCGTCTTCCCCACGCCAACCGGCAACGGCGGGGACGGCGCGGAAGAGCGCGTCTTGCTCCACGTTATGTCCAACACCGGGGGGATCTTCGTCGCCGCCGCGATGGTGGCGTATCAGGAGCGACACGGCAAGGATAAGCAAATGCCGCACGAACTGCTTGTTTGTGACTCCACGCCCGGTGGCCTTGTATTCTCCGCGGAGGTGGGCCGCTGGTCGCACGCGATGGCGGTGGGCACGGCAAAAATGTTTCCGTGGCCGTTACTCGTGACGCAGGCGCTGTGGTGGGTGTTTTTGTGGGGGAACTATCTCTTGGAGAGGCTGCGGGGAGCAGAGCCCTCGGGGGTCTGGGCCAATCGCGTGCTGAATGAGGCTGATGTGACGAGCAGGAAGACTAGTAGGTTGTATTTGTATTCGAAGGAGGATGAGATTATTTGGTACGAAGACCTGGAGGAGAATGTCGCGGGGGTCATGACGCTGGGTTATCGGGCTGTTGACACGGAGTTGTTCGAGGGCTCGCCGCATGTTGGACATATGCGCATGCACTTCACGCAGTATTGGAACCGAATTTCCGATTGTTGGAAGGCTGCCCTAGCTATGAATCAAGGGTAGGGGCGTGTGTGACAGCAAACAAACTACATTCAGCCGTACTGCTAGAAAATTGCCAATCTACATGGCTTCAGAGGGCTTAGTGCTTAGTGCTTAGTGCTTGATAAGAAAGAAGTCGACGCGCATCTCTTGCTTGGATTAGTCAGACCATAGCCCTAGAGCAGCACGTCATATCGAGGACGATAAGCGCGTTTGGCACAACAAAACCCCGGCCGGTTGCTGACACTCTTCTTCCTTCCACGACAATTCACTGTCTATCCCAGACCAGGTAACAAACAGAAGTACCATTCAATTGAAGAGACATCCCAATGGGCCAACCAACTGAGCTTGGCCGGTCTCCACCGGTGCCCACCTCCAGACGACGAGGCCTGTATCTCATCCCCGCAGTGATCATCTTCCTGTGGACCCAATTCGCCCTCTTTCCTCGACTGCTATCCTCAGACCTCCCGGCAACGCAAAAGCTATCGCAGCACCGTCTGGAGCAATTGGAACGCCACCTTCAAGCATGTTCTGCATTGCACCGCCCGCCGGTTGGATACGAAGAGCCGACGGGGCTCAATGTCAACCGAGGCAACCCGCGTTGGAGCGCCAAGACGGGGCAGAGCCAAGCCATTGTTCTGCGCAACGCGACCCTCTTCGACGGCGACCACACCCTCGACCACCCGGTGGATATCACCTTCCACAAGGGCATCATCACACAGATTGTCCCCACCGCCCATCAGGATTCGCATCTGGACGACCATGATGCCCTCGTCCTCGACCTCGAAGGCCGTTTCGTCACCCCGGGACTGGTGGACATGCACTCGCACCACATCGCCGGCTCCAGCCCGGACGTTCGCGCGGTCGAAGATGTCAACGAGATACACCCGGATTTCGGCCCTCTGACCCCCTACGTCAAGGCCCTGGATGCATTGAAAGCCTACGACCCGGTCGCTGCGATCGTTGCCTCCGGTGGCGTCACCTCATCGCTGATTCTGCCTGGCTCCGCCAACATTATGGGCGGCGAGGCCGTCCCCGTGAAGAACGTCCGTCGTGACGAGGCTGGTGAGGAGCTGGTAGAAGAGCTCCTGCTTGAGCATGGCGTGCCCAAGGAGCAACGACGACGGTACATGAAGATGGCCTGTGGCGAGAACCCCAAGGACGTCTACGGCCACACGCGCATGGGGAACGCGTTCCTGTTCCGCAAGCAGATGGACAGTGCGCGACAGCTGCTTGTCAAGCAGGATGACTGGTGTCTGGCCGCAGCGGCGGCCTCTGAGACGGGCGATGAGCGGGCGATCGCGGACTTGGTGAAGGATGGAGGACTGCCGACCGATATCGCCTTGGAGTCGTCGGTCGCTATGCTGCGCGGGCAGGTGGGTATCAACATTCATTGCTACGAGAGTGAGGACATCGAGGCTATGCTTCGCCACAGTGAAGAGTTTGGGTTCCGTATCCAGGCTTTCCATCATGCACTGGAGGCCTGGAGGGTCCCGGAAACGATTAAGAACAGTGGACAGTAGGTGGACCGTGTGTTTTTTCTTTGTCGAATGTTGTGGCTGAACTGTAGCAGGAACATCACCGTCGCCACATTCTCGCACTTCGCGCATTACAAGCACGAAGCATACGATGCTACCCTCTACGCGGGGAAGATCTTGACTGAACATGGGGTCCCGGTGGCCTATAAGTCGGTAAGATAGGGCATCTCACGGACCCGAGACTTTTCAATCGCTCATCAAATTCGTCAGGACGGCTCGAATGAGTTCCTCAACGCAAAGTATCTCCTGTAAGCCGATGCAGCTATGCTACACATACCCGAGGCTAACATGCAGCAGATCCCAAGCCGCAGAAGCGCACTCCTTCGGCCTCCCCGAGATTCAGGCCCTCCAGTCTGTGACGAGCATCCCCGCCCGGTCCCTGGAGCTGGCGCACCGCATCGGCTACGCCCGACCCGGCTACGACGCCGATCTGGTCGTCTGGGACTCGCACCCATTGTCCAACGGAGCCACGCCTCTACAAGTCTACATCGATGGACGCGCCACCCTCAACACGACCATTGACCAACTCAAATCCGTCCCAACTACACTGTCCGCTCCCTCCAGCCGCCTACAGCCGCTACTCACCGAGAGAACCTCGATCTGTGACCAGGCCTCCCGCGCAGACGCCAACCTCATCATCACGGGGATCACCAAAGCCCTAATTCCCGACCTCCACCCGCAGTCCAACACGGACAACCTCACCCTCGTCCTCTCCGGCGGTCGCATCGCCTGCCTCGGCCCCGCAACCGAGTGTCTCGCCCCCGCCGCGGACGACCGCACAGCCATCCACCTCCAAAACGGCCACATCCTCCCCGGTCTCACCGCCGTAACCGCCGGCCTAGGCCTCCAGGACATCATCATGGAGCCCTCCACCGGCGACGGCATCGTGTCCGGGCCAGCACCCAAGACCATCATCTACGCCAAACACGGCCTCCACCCGGGAGGGAGCAAGGATCTCCAACGCGCCAAGCTGGGGGGCATCACGACGGCCATCACCGCCCCGCTCGTGACCGACGGCATGCCCGTCTTCCTGCGCGGAATCTCCGTCGCCTTCAAAGTCAGTCCCAGCTCGACCATCACCACCACCACCGCGGCCGATGAGCCCAGCCCCAGGGAGAATCAAACCCTCCTCGACCGCGCCATCCTCCACCCCGACGTAGGCCTGCACATCCACATCGGCCAAACCGGCAAGACCGAAAACACCCCCACCGTCTCCGCGCAGATCGGCCTGCTCCGCCGCTTCCTCGCCGGGGGCCACCATGCCTCCTCATCCGCGCCATCGTCACAAACCCACCCTGATGACGTGGACGCAGAAGTGTATGCCCAGGTATCCAACGGCACCCTCCCACTAATCATCCACGTCCTCAACCGCTACGACATCCTGCACCTGATACAGCTCAAGCGCGATTTCCCAGATACAAACCTCATCCTCTTCGGCGCGACCGAGGCGCCCCTCGTCGCGCGCGAGCTGGCCGCTTCCCGCATCCCGGTGCTGTTCACGGGTCTCCGCCCGAATCCTGATACGTGGGAGGTGAAGGAGGCGTTCGTCGGGGATCCCCTGACCGAGCCGGGGCTGAAGGTGCTGGTCGAGGCCGGGGTGAAGGTCGGGTTGGCGCAGGCGGGGTGGAGTGATTCCGGGGTTCATAATTTGGGGGTCGATGCGGGGTTCGCGGCGAAGGTGGCGGGGTTGTCGGAGCAGAGGGCGGTGGATTTGGTGAGTCGGGAGGTTCAGGAGATCTTGCATTTGGGAGGTGGCGGGGGTGATTTCGTGGTGTATGAGGGCAATCCGTTGGAGTGGGGGGCCAGTGTCGTTTTGACGGTCGATGGGGCGAGGAGTGCGGTTGTTGAGTGTTGGCCCGAGGCTTCCTAGGGTAGTATACAGTATACCTGTGGTGGCATGTGAGGCACAAATACTGGTCACTAGCATTCAATGCAGGTACGACAACTACCTAGCATGATCGAGTCATGACCATCGAGTAGTGTAAATTGAAGCTTCTAAGATTGGCTCGAACACTGTGCAAACTCCCTGCATTGTGAACACAAAACCTAGAATAAATATTATACAATTCGAACTGAAGCTAACTCCCACATAAAACTAAATTTCTTCAAGCCTACTTCCATCCCCGTTGAGAAATGCATCAAAGGATGAAGGCTGCCTACGCCGGCACAGTGGTAATGGTGGTCGTATACGAGGTCGCGGTCATGGTGCACAGCCGCTCGCACTCGAGCTGGGCGTTCTCGAAGACCTGGCGCTGGCAGGCGGCATGGGCGCGGGGCAGACTGGGACACGAGGCCATGCCGAAGGAGATGATGTCGGAGACGCAGGAGTAGTAGTCGCCGCCCTCGCACAGGTTGCTCAGCACGGAGGTGGCGATGGTCGCCGTCTGGGTGACGGTCACGGACTTCTCGGTGGTGCTGGACCCCGCGCAGAAGGTGAAGTCGTAGCCCGCGTAGTTGGTGGTCGTGGAGGACTCGCACGCGATCACGTCGCCCCAGAAGTCCGTCGAGGTGAAGGGGTAAGGGTTGTTGTTCTTGGTGGTCGGCGGCGCGGTGGTCGAGGTGCTGGACGGCAGGGCCGTGTAGCCGCAGAGACCTGCGGACCCGCTGAGCGTCGGCAGGTACCCGTCGTAGCCGGGGCACACGCAGTTCGTATCGGAGCTGCCGGAGTCCGGGTCTTGGTGAGGCGTGCAGCCGATGGTTGGGGAGCTGTTGGCGCCGCTGGTCGTGGTGGCGGTTGTGGTGCTGGGCTGTCCGGCTGTCGCTGTGGGCCCGGTGGTCGTTGTCGCTGCCCCGGGCGCGGCCGTGGCGGTTCCGTAGGCGCTGTAGATGGACCATGCGGCGTCCCAGTCGGCGGTGTAGATGTCGTCGTTGTAGTCGTCCCAGGGTTCGACTCCACCCAGAAGCACGGGGGCGGCCGAGTAGATGTCCGATGTCGTGGTGGCGGTGGTGTCGCAGCCGACCACATCTGTTTTTGTTAGTCGGTGAAGCTGTAATATGGAGAAATGTACTTGGCTTACCCTTGCACGAGGTGGAGCAGGAGCTCGTGGAGGCTTGAGTCACGCAGGCCACATTGCAGGAGCTGTAGGTCGAGGTCTCACATTCCTCGTCCTCGTCGCCAGGAGAGCCGGTGGGCACGGGCTTTGGTCGGTTCGGATCGTTGCCGTTCTTGTTCGGTGCTGCAGAATGTCAGTTAGTCATGCGAACAGAGCATCGTACAAGGCGTTAGACCAAGAACGATACGTACATTTACCTCCTCCGCAATCAGTCCAGCAGTGCTCACAGACCTTGAAGATCGCGTTCAAGCCTCCTAGGATCCCCTCGTGGCAGCTCTCACCACACACAGCCCTGTTGGTACACTTGGGCTTGGGTTCCCCACGGTGGTGCGTGACGTGGTGCGTGCCTCCAGGGGGAATAATAATGCCAACAGCCGTGGTTGTGGACGAGGTTGTTGTCTTGGTGGGCTCGGTCGTTGAAGTGGGCACGTCCGATGGGACAGTCGTGCCGGGCCAGGGAGGGGGGTAGAAGGGCACCACAGTGCTGGAGTAGATGCTTCCGTTGTAGGTCATTGCCGGCCAGGTGATGTTGAACGCCGTCTGGATGATGCTGGGCTCCGGCGTAATAACGGTGGAGGTTGTGCCGTTACCGATCGGGACGTTGTAGAAGGGCACAATAGACGTTACCACATCCGGGATGGTGATTGTGGAGGTGGTTGTCGACATGATATATGAGGTGGTAGTGCTGATGGTACCATTGTAAGTGAAGGTGTACGGCACCTGATAACCAACACCGATCTCTGTCGTCAGGGTTGGATAAACGAAGGTCGTGGCGGAAGACAAAGTGGTGGGCGGCAGCACGTAAGTGCAGGGGGGATAGCACTGGACGATAGTGTCATTGTCTGGCTCGGTCCAAATAATGGGGTCAATGTAGACAATGCCCGAATCGTTGCCGTTGGACCCGATGTCTGAGCCGCCGGTGGAAAGTGCCAGCCACGCGGCAATCTCGCTGGTGAAGCCGTTGCGCGTCGTGTCGTTGAACATCAGCGGAGCGAGGCTGCCGTCTGGGCTTACGATCTGCTCGTTACCCTTGGTAAACAGGTTGTAGATGTACAGACCATCAGCGTAGTTGGTCTCGACCAGGGCCAGCTGGCAGGTCTCCGTGTCGATGCAGCCCTCATCATAGTCCTGGAAGAAGGAGTAGAATCCGGCCGAGTAGATCAGCACATCGGTCGAGTTGATCACCCGCAGAGCCCAAGCCCCTCGGCAAGAAGAGTCGTCTTCGTCGCAGTTGTCAAAGGTCGGATCCGAGGCAAAGTTACCCACCCCGGCCGTGTATGGCCCTGTGGCGTCCGGGGAGGGCTGGTAGTAGGGAGTCTCGGTCTGCATGTGTCCCAAGTAAACGTTGGCTGCATTGGCCAGCTGGTACTGGTACATCTGCGCGTGCTCACTGGCGGTGCCATACAGCCAGGTCGGGCCCTGGGATTCGATCAAGAACCCACGACCCACGTAGACGGAAACATCAGTCTGCACATTCAGCGGGATTCCGGCGGTGCTCTCGGATGCCGCCGCGTTCAACTTGCTGTCGAGATCGTGATCAGCCACCCAACCCCAGACATTCTCAAAGTAGCCGGAAGCAGACGAGGTGACGTGCATCAGGAGAGCAGCGCCCATGCAGTCCTTGCTCACTCCGGACCCGGTGGGGCACTTATCCAGCCCCAAGTCACTGGCAGTGGTACCTCCGACGCGGAAGTGACTGTCCCACATGGCAGCGCTACCCTGGGTGCTTTCGTGGACGTTCCACTCCACCAAGACAGCACCGGCAGTAGGACCCTTGACCGTGAAAAGCATGTCCGTGATCTCGATGACACCCTCGTCGCCCTCCTCACCGACTTGGACCATCACCTTCGGGTTCTCCTCGTCCTCAAAAGCAGACCCCGTGCCCATAATCTGACTCCATCCAGATCCAATGATCTTACTCCCAACCGGCACTTTGACGGTATCTTCCACCAGATACACACCAGCAGGGAAGTACACCACCGATCCCACGCTGCTCGCCAAGAGACTGTTGATCGCATCAGTCTGATCACCGGTACCATCATTGGAGATTCCATTGCTGGTCGCGACGACGGGGGTCTCGCTCTCATACTGCGGCTTGGCCCGGCGGTAGTAGGCACCCGAGCTATCGAGGAGGACCTCCGGTTTCTCTGGCGCGGGATCAAGGAATCCGGTCTGCTTCCCACCGGAGCCATCGGGCAGGTAGCGGTAGCCCATGGACCAAGAGTTGAAGTACAAGGCGTCGGTAGACCCCTCAAGGATGGTGTCGCCTCCGCTGATCATGACCACCGCAGCGGAGTTCTCGACCAGCAGATTATCCAGCACAATATGGGGCTGCCAGCCATCCTTCTGTGCCACCGTAATGCCGTAGGGCACGCCGTTGAAGTGCGAGTCAACGACCGAGATCGACCCGGTTCCCTGGTCTCCCGTGCCCGAGTACTCGGTGGCATCGATGGCGATGTAGCAGGACAGCACGTAGATGTTCTTCCAGTTGATTCCCCAGTTCCAGACGGACTTGATCGCCGTCAGGCACGAGGTGAACTGCAGGTTGATGGCGGTGAACTGCTGCGAGCCCGCGAGGAATCCGATGTTTCTGAACCAGTCCTCCATGTTAGCAGAGTATGAGGTATGGGAGAATCAAGGAATCATGCAGCGCACTCACCCTCCCGTAAAGGTCAAATCCGAAACCATTCCTCCACTGCCGTTCTCCATGTAGATACCCACGGCCGTGGCAGCCTGGCCATCAGCGGAGACGGCCATCTTGAAGTCGCAGTTCGTGATACTGGTCGCCTGGCCGACCTGCCAGTGCACACCGGCCGGCACGTAGGTCTGGTTGTTGTCGGTGTTAGTCCAGTTCATGCTGGTCATGTCGAAGACAAAGTTGCGGATCTGGCGGTAGAAATTGCTCTGGTTGATGTACCACTCTGAACCATTGCCACCGGGAACGTAGAAGTCGGAGTCGAACAGGGCAATGCCCGTGAAGTTCTCTGATCCCTGGATGACCGGCTTGCTGTTGGGGTTACCGACGAACTGGGTGTAGTAGTACTGCACGATCGGCGTGCTGATGAGATACGTGCCCGCGGGGAAATAGACCACCGCGCCCAGCGTGGAGGAGGAGCCACAGTCTTCGCCGCAGCGCAGGGTGGAATCATCGGAGGCGCTGAAGGAGGCGACCGCGCGGTTGATGGCCGCTGTATCGTCGGTTACGCCGTCTCCGACGGCTCCAAAGTCCATGACGTTGCGGAAGAACTGGTACCCCGACGGCGCAAAGGGAGACGAGCCATCGGATCCGAGGCTGGATAGCCAGTAGTCGTCGGTTGAGCGACGGGCGTGGTGCATTTTTGCATCGGCCGTGGCATTGAGCGGCGTAAGGACCGGACCAGTCATTGATCCTTGGTCTGGCGCACTCCCGAAGAAGTTGTTGACATTGTCCCGCATGTATGAAGGCGGCGGCTGTTGCATTGAATTAGTCTTAGGTCCTTTTTTGCTCGTAGCAATCGCAGGCAACCTACTTGAGGTGATCCGGGAGGCAAGGGCGGGCTGGTTCCCACCGGCTTTCGCGGAATCGAGACGGTAGTCGCAGGCCCTCCTCCCATGGTAAAAGCCTGACTAGAGGCAGGAAGATGTGACGACTGTTGTCGTTCATGGCGCATGTGGAAGTGGCCATGGCCATTATGCGTATGCGCAGAGGCCGATGTAACACATTGCGCTCCAAGCCACAGCAGGCCCAAACTGTGAAGCGACACCATGGTGCCTGTGCGGAAGTGATTCGCAGTGACTACCCATTATGATCGAGGGAAAAGGTGTCAATAAATGCGGCACGAAGATAGTTGTTTCTGGCTCTTCCCCCTGTGCGATACAAGTCAGGGGGAGAGGGTCCGAAATCCGAATAGTCCTGAACTGTGCTTCCTGAATTCAGGCCTTGAGAGGCTGTAACCGATAAAATCCAGCAACACTCGGCTGGTGCAGAAACTTAGTATGTAGGATCACTTAGTGGAAAAAGTGGATAGAAAGCAATCACACAGGGAATCCTTCTTCGGACATGGGCTCATTTGGGAAAAGTTGGGTGGCAGTGGAGAGCATTCTGGCCAACCTCATTTCCCTTATCAGAGCCGCATCAAACCCTGAAGGCCGTTCAGACGAGCGGTCCCTGCATGACTCGGGCCAAATCAGACCATGTGGAAGTCCCTGGCCCACTTTTAATTGCAATAAAGGGACAATTTGGGGGCCAAAGAGACAGTTTTGGGATGGCGTATTGCACAGGGTGGAGCCCGGCTAAATCTTTAGTACCGGAACGCCTCGGACAGAAGCCGATGTATACAACAGTGCTTGCAGGATGAGGCTATTCAACTCGCATCCTGCCACGAAAAAAAAAAATCAAATCAATGGCCAGTTCAGGGGCAGGGTTCTCAGGGCACTAACTTGAGATCCCTGAGATCTCGCTCACGTGTAATGTCAAAAAAAGGGGGGCCACGCTGAGGTACCTGAACGAGACACACGGTCGACGATGGAACTAGTCAAATAGAATACGATTACCCCAACTGCTTGGAAATCTCATCAAACTGGATAGCCCGAATACATGCCCTCAGGATGGTGCGGCTGCGTCAAGTTTTCTCTCCTGCGTTTCTCATCGCGGCGCTTGCCGCCAGTTCCTGGTGGCAGCCCGCGGTCGCTGCGGACGGCGATCTCGCGAAGCTCAGCAAGCTGTTCAAGTATAGTACGGATCCGGGTGCAGTGGATGTGGGAGGTCTGCCGACCGACACAGACCTGCAGACTCTCTTGACCGATGCGCTCACGCTTGCCAACGCCGGGGTGGCCGCTGCGACGGACGCCCTCGCCGGCAAGGCGGAGGCAGAGCGACTGATGAACTCCCTGTTCCTGTCCCCCAGCGAGTCGGACCTCCAAACCATCCAGAAGCGCTTCAATGGCGTGGTGACCTATCTCACCAGTGGCGGGAAGATCAACAACGGCGCCCAGAAGACGAAGCCGTTTCTGCTGTACGGCGACGGGTGGCGCATCCGTCAGGACATGAAGAGCGAGCTGCGCAATGCCGACGGAGAGACCATTCCCAAGGCCGATGGATCGGGCAATGTGCTCATCGAGGATGATTCGCTGATGGTGCAGAAGCAGCAGGAGGCGAAGACCATCGCGGAGAAGGACGCCGTGGCTCAGGGCAAGTCCGCGAGCGAGGCCGAGGACCAGTATCCCTACTGGAGCGATTCAATCCAGGGCTACACCTTCGACCAAAAATGGGGGGATTCGCCCACCGTCGGGGTCTTTGACTCGGGCTCCTCGGCCATTGCATTCACCCTCATGGATACCGACAAGGCGCTCATCAACCTCGGTCCCAAAGCCCTACGGGGCGGCCGCCTGCACGCGGTGGACGTGACCGCCGTCGCCAACAGTTTGTTTGAGGACCACACGCCTCCCACCGGCAGCACCATTACCTCGATCGCCGAGGTGGCCCCCCAGGCCACCGCCATATTCCACGAGCTGTTCCACCTGGTCTGGGGCGACAGTCTCATGTACCCCTCCGTCGGCGAGGAGTACCAGTTTCAACGGATGACGGGCTACGAGAGCCGAGGCAGTGGGAAGAAAGCGTTCACCAAGAGATACGCCATGCGGAACCCGCAGAGCTATGCCTACGCTGCGTATGTGTCCCCTTTCCAGTTCAGGGGAGGTTATGCTAACATGAAGAATGAATAGGATCGCCTATGATTACACGCAAAATGTGCAGTACAAGATTTCCAACAAGAAGTCGGCCCCTGTTGAGTTCTTCACGGGGTTTGCTTCCTACGAGAAGAGCTAGAGGGGATATATCTGGGGGGGCACTTCGATGGAGGGTATGATTAGATTATTCTGGAGAGCTTGCGTGGATGGTAGATAGTGTTTTGCTCAATGCTTTAGTCACTTTGATTCTCAGTACTCCGTGTCCCCACAGAAAGGAAGGCTCGACTTGTGCTGCTGTATCTCCTCCTCGCTTAACAACGCATACCACCGCCGGTAGTAATCGCATGGATCACCCAGTGGTGACCACAGTCCCATCGCCGTGATCCTCTGCTCCTCCCACAGAACTAATCCGTACGGCAGATAGGCTCGCAGCGCCATGTACTTGCCGCGACCACCCAGGGGATTGTGTATCATACTGCGCCAAAACTGGAACCCGAGGGGCTCCGCATCGAGATCCTGCCACTCGCGTGCCGGTGGTCGGACACCATAATCTCGTACCGGTTGAAAGACGTAGCCTGGCGGCCACGGACGGCATTCATCCTCAGGGGGAGGCGCAGAGGGGGCCGCAGCCTGGGCTATCTCAGTCGCTAGTGCTTTCTCCCTTTCCTCGTCTAATTTGCCCTCCAGCTGGAGAGCTCCTTCATCCGGCTTAATTGCAGTACTCAGCCCATCGGCGTCTTGCGCCAAGGCGCTGGCATAGGGCGCAGGGGCACACGGCCATCCGAACCTCAAGTGTGCCGGAATATCCGGGAGCACCAGACCCAGACCCGTGGTTGAGTCGGATCCAGCCGCAGCGTGGCGGGCCAAAAAGTCGATGACGGTCAAGACCTGGTAGATACCGGAGGAAGGGATGGGGTATTCAAAGGGGGTGACTGTCGCCAAGCGGTCGAGGTCCGCGGGACTCCACTCTAGCGACCCTTGGCGGCCCGCACGCTGAAGGCTCTGGTACCACACATGCCGCCAAACCGCGAGAATCGTGCGCTGCTCTTCCGTCCACGTGGGCTGCCGGAATGTCGGGGAGTACTGGCGCCGGGCGAGCAGGGGACGCGATAGGCAGTGCTCGAGACAAGAATCGAGACACCAATGGGCGAGGAGATGGACCTGGTGTGCGAACCGCACGAACTCCCGGACGATGTCCGCGGTGGCGACCACTGGCGGCCAGGGCCCGTCTTTCTCTACCAGGTAATCCATCGCGTCGTAATAGTCCTGGCACGGGCTGGTTCCGGCACGCAGGGACAGCACCGCCCGCATGAGAATTCGCGATTGCAATGGGACGGTGGCCTCGAGCACGGCCTCGACGGTCTCCAGCGCCCGAGCCTGGAATAGTGCGGCCAAGCGTGCAGAGGAGTTGATGAGGCTCCACAGAGTGGAGATATCCGGAGATTGCCCCAGAATTGTTAGGAGTAGTTCATTGGGTAGGCTGTTAAAGCCAGAGGGCTTTGAAGAAGGAGGAGGAGGAGGGGAGGACATGGTCACTTGTTTGGTGAGGGGAAGAAAGGAGGCGCAAGTGAGCGTTCAGCGTTGATTCAGGTTTATTTTATCAATTTTATCTCCGCGCTACTGGGCAGTTATCAGGCGATGGCCGCGATGGGGTGAAGGATTGTGGGGACTCCGACCAGTGAAATGCGGTTGGGTTTAAGCTTTGCCCAAGAAGGCCAAGCCGCGTGGAGGCGTTGAAGAAATCATCTTGACTACCCCCACCAACTATCGATTTTCAGGGTTAAGGGTTCCTTGATAGAATGATACAAGTACTTGATAAGTTAATTGTCAATTCCAAATTGCGCGTAGCCTCGTGCCGGTCCGGGCGGTGAGCATCGTTGTTCCTTCCTATTCCAGCCCTAGTCCATCCCTTGAATGCATTACCCCTACTATACTAGTACTACTATACTACTAGCCTGGTCTAATGGAAAACCCTTTAGACCCTGCTAACAATCATGTTAGTGAATCACAGATTCAATCGAACGCTTCGTATTCTCTCGGCTATTCACAAGCTATCAGGCAAGCTCTATACTCCACAATCCTGCGTCCACATCCTTCACCAATCACGCGATCGCAGACTGAGACATTTCAGCCTCAAGGGATTCTGTATAGATAACTTGCCTGTGCCAAGTCCAGCGGCGTTGGAGGCCGTCTACTCCTGCAGAGTCCGACAGAGCCTTTCTCTCCCAATGGGACCATGAGCTCTGGGCGCGAGTATCTAGCGATATGCCTCAACTTCCAAACCATAATTGAGGCTTCCTCCGAATACTATATAAGCCTGGTGACTTCCTCGTCTCGTAGACTCTCCTCACCACCATCCTCATCATCCCAGAATCCCACAAGATGCAGCTTCCTACTCTCCTCCTCACTCTCCTCAGCGCCACGGCCGTGGTGGCTCTCCCCTCGGCGGAGACCAGCAACGCCGACCTCGCCACCCGCGGTGACAGCGGGTGCTTCCCTGTGTACGTACACTCTCATTCAATCTGGCAGCTCCTATGCCTTGTACTGACTTGCCTTACTATAGCTCTGACCCCGATTGCGGTATCTCCACCTCCTACTGCCGCTGTGCCAACGGTAAGACTTCATTGCGTGAACAGACGGGAATTCTTGCTAATAAAAAGAAAAGGATGGTACTACCTCTTCAACTCGGACGAGGGTGGCTGCAACCCTCCCTGGGGCATTGTGGCCACTGATATCAGCGGCCTGCCTGGCTGGAACTGTTAAGACGTCGGTTCTTGATCTGGTGCACGTTGGATGCATGTGAGAGATCTGGAGCGACGTAAGCAGTACGAGCACTTGAGACTGGGACGAGTCTGGTTGGACGATCTGTCGGATTGTTTTGTATCGGTCGGCGACCGCAGACGATTATGTTATTATACCAGCGTCGGCCTGACCCATCCACGGCCACACCTTGTGTGATACAGATACACCTTAATGAGGAGTTGCCCGCAGTCCTAGGGCAGCTTAATACTACTTGCCTAATATATTGGACTCCCCAAAGCACTTTACGTATAATTCAAACACATGAGACGAGCACTAGGTGTGGGAGACAGGGCTTTCTGTCCGCTCATCAGTACTTGAGGCTACCTATTAAACTCCGCTGGCTTAGCAATAAGTCTTAAGCCTTTTCTTAGTCGCTGCTCTCGGAGTCAGCAGTACTCAAATAAACAGTGCCAGGGCTAAACAGGCCCTTCCAACCTTCACGAGGATTTGGCGGAGGAATAGATAGTATATACAAATTACAGCAAAGGTTGTATAACCGATTCTTAAAAAGCTTACAACTATACCTCTAAGGATTGCTGTACTTATAAGGTTGCCTTTCTCAGTCGCACCTGTTAGGGGCATCTCAACATCATTGTCGATTCTCATCGAGCAATTCGCCTCGGCCAAAGGGTTGTCGCCTCCAAGCAATTGATTCATTAACTGAAGCCCAGTGTTGCGAGCGGCCTTCGCTGCAAGGAAAAGAGCATCGTTGATCAGCGGAGACCGACGATTCCGCGCGTGCACCTTGAGCCCCGAACTGCCAGAATCGCGAAACTAGGCGGACGAGAACGAGGAGTAGCAAAGGAACTTTACAAGAAGCGCACAATCGCAGTACGATAGTAGGCGTATTTGCCAACGAACAATATCATCATCTATGTACATGAAAATGACCAAGACCAGGCCCTCCACAAAGACCAAGGAATGCCGGAGAATCCTACAGCTCACCGGACACTCACCAGATCATACATCCTCCGCCTTCGGCTCCTGCTCCTGCTCAAAATCTCCAGAAACTGCAGCTCCCGGGATCACGAAGTCTCTCTCGAGCATCGCAGACCAACCCAAGGCCACGGCAATGGCCAGAGCAATCATCTCTTCCAACACAGACATGCACAACGAGAGAGTGAGACTGCTGGCGCTAGGGTTGCCGCTGAGGGAGGACTGGAAGATCTCATAGTGGCCCAAATCGGCGATCGCCGCATAGATCAACCGCACTGTATAGAAGGGCGCAGAGAGAGCAATTCCGATGAACAGCTTTTTCTGGAATCTTTGCAAAGTGCCTTGTGTCTCCTTGAACAGCCAAGCAGTGGCCGCCAGGATGGCGGCAAAGACGATGAGAAAGATGATCATGGCTGCCTTGAGGAGTGCATTTATGTTGCCGGACTTTTCAGTCTTATCCACTCCCACAATCGCGATGATGAGGGCGATCAAGGAAACAAGAGACAAAAACTGCAGGGGTTTGGGAGGAATTCGGTATTCCACATCACTAAGAATGCACATACCTACCTGTTAGCATGTCTCTGCCAATTGAGTGAGGTCTAAGGTCTCTAACTTACATCTGTCGTAACAGTCCCATATACATCAGGGACTGGGGGGCGATACCAATCAAGTTGCATACCGTTGCGGCGGTTCGTAGATTGGTCGAGGTGAAACTGAGCTGGGCCAGTGTGCATATGCTGCCGACCACCCGGAGCACAGATAGGATGACAGCGAATCGCCAGGTAGGACCACCGGCTCTCCATCCTGTTCGTTTCCAGATATAGATGGAGCACGCGAGAAGAAATGGGAACACAATCAACTGAAGGATTGAAATACCATCGGAATAGGTTACCTTTGCCATTGTCGGTGGATGTGATTGAGGTCGAAAAAGAGACGAATCAATCGAAACGCAAGGCTTGGAGAGTTTGTTGTATACCACCTTCACAACAGGAGTAGAGTCATATTTATACACTGCTGGGTTGTTCTTCTCCCGGACCGGGGTGGCCTATCTCCGGCTCAGCGCTTCTCCTTCCTGTCAGCCTTGCGCATCAAATGTAGAAGAATTGCCCTTGTCAACGAACAACTCCCCTAGAATAGACCAGATGTGACCAAAGCCAGCCGCTCCAGATAAATCAATCTGTTTGATTTCTCAGCTCTGAGGATATTGAGTTCAAAGTTCCCATTAGTGAGCCTTAGTACAACCGAGCGCGCTAATTTCAATCCAGTAGCCGGCTCGGAACTTGGGGCCTACAATTTTTCTTGAGGGCTATCCTTACACGGACTGACACAAGCATCAGATCGGAGTTCCCGGTTTCATGATGTAGTGAATACTAGGTAGTTCCTGGCCACGGAAATCATGCAAAATTGGCTTGCAGAAGAACAGGACTAGTCAGATCAGGTCCGCTGAGTGACGGTCGGAAACAAGGACCTTAGTCAGTGGACCGACTATAAGATTGATATGTCTTCTTCTGTGTCTGGCTTCCCGCTTTATGGGCGTCGTTCGCAGTGAATGTGGATATTGCTTGATCCAAACTAGCTAGTCCACTCACCCGCCGCTCCCAAGCTGTCCGAGTTGGCTACCTGGGATGGTTTAGTGTGCGAGCCTTAGTGTTCTAATTTCTGCGGGGTACAGTACATTTACAATACCTATACGTACTTTTGGCCCCCATGCGGGATCAACTGGCAAACGCTTGCGAATGCTTGTGGGGCGGATCATTGCCAGCCACTGCTATCAAGCTAGCTCCCTTTTATTATAACACCAACAGTCCTTCCCCCCCCCGCAATGCATCAACAAGCCACGTCTGCGAACTTGTTTCCCTTTTAAGAATGATAGAATCATGGCCCGGGTTTACAGAGGAAAAATCAGTATGGGGTGTACCTTGTGCCGGAAGCGACGGCTGCGAGTAAGTGGGCACCTTCAGGCATAAAACATTAAACATTGGGGAAATGGCCAACAGTATGCAGTGCGACCGTCGTCAGCCATCTTGTTCACAATGCCTGCGAGTGAATCAAGAGTGTTTCGGATATCGAGATCCGGATACCCTGAGGGTCTATGATCAGAGCGCGGAAGTTGCGTCCAAGGCTCAAGCCCGATATGGTGGCGGTCCCACCCAACAGTCGCCTGCGGAAGAGTCGCCGTCTACACCCACTTTAGTCTATTCACCCATCTCCGATGACCAGCGGGCCATGTCGTATATTATTCCATACTATATTGGCACGGACCAACATCGGGGCTTACTTTTGTTTCTGCCAAGCCTGTTGCAGAATGACCCCTCTCCTGCGTTGATGGCCTCCGCCAAGGCTATAGGCCTGTTGGGTATGACGAGGAGGCCGCATGTGAAACAGCGAGCCAGGGAAGAACATATTATTGCCTTGCGTGCTACCAATAGTGCTTTGAGAGATCCGACAACAGCAACGTCGGATTCCACTCTGGGCGCCGTGTTGTTGCTGGGCTTGTATGAGGTGATATCTCCCACTCTAAGCTGCAATCTTTTCGTCCAAGCGACAAACACTAATCAATCCCTTTCAGCTGATCACATCACGACCCACGGAAATGGGTGTTGGCTGGAGGGATCATGCTCAAGGAGCAGCCAAGCTCCTGGAACTGCGAGGTGAAGAGCAGCTGAACTCGCCTGTTGGACTAGAGTTGTTCACCATTGTGCGCTTTCAGAATGTGAGCAGTTACATCCGTGGGAGGTTTATACTACTGGCCTAATGCAATTGGCAGGTAATCAGCAGTGTCTTCTTCAGACTGGGGTCCCAGATTCACAATTCACCCACGATCGCAGCGCTGTCTCAAGTTGCAAGTTCCAAAAGAAATGAACATACCCGGCCGATCGAAACCCTCTACAATATGCTCATCGAGCTGAACGATATAGCAATCGAGGTTGATGAGGCACACCTCCAAGGTGACCTTGAGAAGCAACAGTTGTTGATAGAGAGGTCTCTTACCCTCGATGCGCGCCTACTGGCGTGGACGACATCGCTGAGTCCCGCGTGGTCCTATCAAGTCATCGATGACCCGCGTTCCCATCTGCCCAAATCCACCTATCCTCCGATCTATGATAACAGATATCATATTTACCACGGGGTCTCCATCGCCACCATGTGGAATAACTACCGCCAGACGCGCATCGTGCTCAACGAGATGATTAGGATGATGGCCCTGCGCCGGTGGAGGCTACAGAATCTGCCACAGTATCAGCAGATCATCTATCAGTCTACTGGCATTATTGAGCACATGGCGGGGGAGATCTGTGACAGTCTTCCATATTACTTCATTTCCGGCGAGGTAGGCTTTGGAAGCATATACCGGGTGCTGTGGCCGCTTTTCATTGCGGGCCGATGCGCAGCAGCAGAATCTCCGGCAAAGGAATGGACGACGCAGATTCTCGACCTCATTGGAAATATGACGGGTATTCAGCAGGCCATCGGCATGTCGCAGCTACTCAAGCAGGAGAAGCCAGCCAGCGTGATTCCGGGAGGGGATCTGGTTACCGAGTCTATCTTTAACCAAGCAGCCAGGTTATCTCTTGATAGTGACTAAGAGGCTAGTCTGAGCTATATGCGCTGAAAATGAATAATTGATATGGAGAAAAGTCGTATGCAGCTCTTGCTAGGAGATGTAGCGCCAGAGGAATGCTGCTTTAATCGGCCTCGTCACGGCAGGCCTTAGAACACAGCATCCTTGCGCGGAACACATCGCTGGATGTAAGGAAAACCTTAGCATCCCTTTTAGCAGGTAGCAAAATAAAGCAATGGCTTAAGTGTACACAACATATAACTTTAGTTAGTACGTTGTTACTTTTGAAGGGGTAAGCGAGAGGAACCATGCTTTCCAGCATCAGTGGTCCCGCCACTTTTACATGTAAATGCTTGGCAAGCGTAAGCCAAACAAAACAGCCTGCGCCCGTCATGTCCTCGACCTACGTTACGCAAAAGAATAAAGGCTGCAAAAAAACATACAACAGAAGGGATTCGCTGGTGGTCACCCACCCAACTACTACCCTCCCGGCGTGTGGCTTAAGTACGGCTGAGCGGACGGGAAGCCCTGTTTTCCACACCCTGTGGTCGTATGTGCTTGCTTGAAGGATCAAGCTGTATATATGTTTACCGTAGATGCGGCTAGCAACGCAGTCACTTACCATTTTAACAAGAATTGAGTGCTGCACTAACTTACATGGCTTGTGCCATGGCAAGCTTCTTGTCGCTGTGGCTGGTTGTCGGTCCTGTTTGCCCCCGGGCGCCGATCAATTACCACCGATCCTCCGTACTTCAATTCTGCAAGTACAAACCTCCAATTGCTGGGGTTCTGAGAGTACTGAGATTCCCATAGTCAGGTTGTTGAGGTTCGAAGGCGTGACTGCGAATGGAAGAAACAGGGGGTCGAACAAAACCAGATGTGATGGTATGTCAGATCTGGTTTTCCACAGCCTCAAACAGATGGAGAACAAGGCGGTATTTACCTTACCCAGCGGTTGCGTTGTATCTTTGCCCGACAGACGGACGAAGATCCATACCGATACATGTATTGAAAATACGCTCTTCAGATCCATCTGGGACAGAGGATGACCCAGGCTGTTATCAATCTTATCAACCCGCTTCCCGCCCGGGAACCAAGAAGACCAAGCTGCCAGAAAAAGGATCTGATTTGTGTTAACCTGCATGGCCAAGGTGGTTGCTTCTCCGTAGACGCAGGCCCACCGTTCTTCCATGGTCCCTGAATCTGAGATATATGGCAGCCTAGCCTGAGTTGTTGGTCTGAGACATATTATCCAGTTCGGCAATCTCGAATTAGGTAAACCAGTCTGACATGCAGCAACAGGGACACTAATTTATGGAGGACGATGGTAGCCGAGCGGGAAAGTGAAAATTTCTATTTCAAGCAACGACAGCTTGACCACACAACTACCTCATGATGGATCATACTATCATTCAAGCAGCGTGGGGTGATGATGATGATGAAGCTCGAAGTAATGAGTAAGACACCCGCGGAGCATACAGCATCATCTTCGCCACAGGTGCGCCCGCATTCTGCGGCAATTATTCGGAATCAGGGCACGGCACTAAACAAGGGACAACAAAAAGGGTCCAGCAGATGGGGAAGTCCCGCGCACGGGGCCCGCGGACCACGAGAGTCTCCGCTCTGGAATCTTAGGCCACCACATTTCTATAAGCTGGATTCTGGTTGTGGAGAAGTAGGAAAATATCGTTTGATGATGTTCTACCTCCTGGATAGACCTCAAAAACAACCCGGACAAACTGATCTTTTTATCAGATTATCTGCATCCGTGAAAACCGCGTGGCATGGTTGCCAAGGAACTCCCTCCAAGAAATCGCGGGCTTGGCTCCTCGCTTTGCTACGAGGGCCAAGTGTCCGGCCACGACCTCGGTTACGAGTCTCGTCTCTTGGCTCACCAGACCGAGTGCAACCACTCGAAAGTGGTCCGATGTGCTCCGGAGGATACCCGCTTGCGGATTGATTAGATCCTTGGCCGTTCTTGGCGGAGGAGGGGAGCGGTGCTCTTCTCAGCTCGCGGTGGAGGCACTCAACGAGACGTTGGGTCTGTGGAGTTTGGTGATATACATGAACATACAATTGTTGCAGATCTTTTGGGAATTGCTACAGATGTTACATCCTTTTACTGTAGTTGAATGGTCATCTGAGCAGGAGAGGAAGAAGACATTAGAGTTCGCATTGATAGGGCACACAACCATCTCGTTCAGTTGTTAGGAGGCACTGAACATAGAATAGAGTTTTTCTTACTGCAGGAGCAGCCAACGAGCAAGCATCCTAGCCAAAATGGCACGAAGTGTCACCGAACCACCCACCCCTAGCGTGGCGATGGTATCTTATCAGATGCAGCATCCTGGTTCCACCTCGGACCAGGCCCGCCACTGGGAGATGTCGCCAAGGGAAACCCAAGACATTGGGAGGGGAATCGCTGACCCGGTTGCTTGAGAATACGCAGGCGTGACACAGACAAGGCTTGGCCGTGCAAGGGCTGCTTAAAATGTCTCACGCCCGCAGCCCCAAAGGATCGATTGGCAGATCGACAAAAGTTTTTTTCTTTCTTTGCTTTCTCTCCCGCCGCCCTCTCTGCCTGTCGGACACGGTTCGATTGCTCAGTCACCATGGCCCTGGATAACAAGAGCCATCCCCCTCAGGTCGACGAGGACCCTCTTCCCATCGAGCGCGAGGTTTCCCCCGACCCGTCACTGCAGAACCAAGATCAACAGGATGGTGTTCGCGTTGCCGAGGCGGTCACGGCCGTGTGGTCCAAGAAGGCTCTCTACTTCTCCTATGGATGGTGAGTGCATGCTAGCCTGTATGCTTTAAGATTCTTGGGTCTGGGACAAACTGACTGGAGGTCTATAGTATGTGGATGCTCTACTTTGTCAGTGGGCTGAACAACAACCTCACCGCCAACCTGTCGGCCTACATTACCAGTGACTTCTCGGCACATTCACTGTTGACGGTCATCAGCATCGTCACGAGTGTCATGGGTGCTGCGTGCTTGCTGCCGATTGCCAAGGTGCTGAACCTGTGGGATCGGACGGTCGGTCTGGGCATCATGGTTCTCATTGCGATGATGGGTTTGATCATGATGGCGGGTTGTAACAACATTGCCACCTACTGTGCTGCGCAGGTGAGTTGCTCAAGCCAGAGGCCCTTCTGTATGCAGTGGAGTATACTGACACGGCCCTTCCTAGGCCTTCTACACGGTCGGCTTCACCGGCGTGATCTTCTGCGTCGACGTCCTCACCTCCGACACCTCCTCTCTGCGCAACCGTGGTATCGCTTTCGGCTTCACCTCCTCGCCGTACATCATCACCGCCTTCGCCGGCGCACCCCTCTCGAACCAGTTCCACGAGACCAACTGGCGCTGGGCGTACGGAACCGTCTGCATCCTGTTGCCCGTCGTTGCCCTGCCGTTGATCTTGACCTGGGAGATGGCCAAGCGCAAGGCCGACAAGGAGGGTCGGTTGCAATACAAGCCCCGCAGCACGCGCACCTGGTGGCAAAGCATCTGGTTCTACATCGTGGAGTTCGATGGTGTGTATCTCCCTCCCCTACATCCACCTCAGCCACGTTCCGCTACAACCCCTCTGACACCGAGTCTCTCCTTCCAGTTGGCGGCATCATCCTGATGATCGGCGGCCTGATCCTCTTCTTGACCTCGTTCAACATCGCTGGTAACACCGAGGAGGAGTGGAAATCGCCCAAGATCATCGCGATGATGGTCGTGGGCTTCTGCGTGCTGCTGCTGTTCATCGTCTACGAGCGCTGGGGCGCGCCCAAGCCGTTCATCCCGTACCACCTCCTGACCAACCGCACCGTCATCGGGGCGTGCCTGCTGAGCACGACCTACCAGATCTCGTACTACTGCTGGGCGAGCTACTACACCTCGTTCCTGCAGGTGGTGTACAACACGAGCCTGACGCAGGCGGGCTACATCAGCTCGATCTTTGATCTGATGGACCCGATCTGGCTGATCGGGTGCGGGTACCTGATTCGGGTGACGGGCCGATTCAAGTGGCTGCTGCTGTGGGCAGTGCCCCTCTACCTGCTGGCCAGCGGGCTGATGATCTACTTCCGCACCCCCGGCCACTCCGTCGGCTACATGTGCATGTGCCAGATCTTCTTAGCGGTCGGCGGCGGCACCCTGATCCTCATTGAGCAGGTCGCCGTCCTGGCCGCCTCCTCGCACGAGGAGTACGCCGCCATGCTGGCCCTGCTCAGCACTTTTGGCAATATCGGCGGCGCCGTCGGCAGCAGCGTCTCCGGCGCCATCTGGACCAACACCCTGCCCCAGAAGCTGCGCCAGTACCTCCCTGCTGACACCCTCGACCAGTGGGAGGAGATCTACGAGTCCCTCGACGTTCAGCTTTCCTATCCTGTCGGCTCCGAGACCCGCATCGCCATCCAGAATGCGTACGCCTCCAGTCAGCGCAATATGATGATCGCCGGTACGGCGCTGATGGGGCTGTCCATCGCCTGGGTGCTGATGATCAAGAATATCAAGATCAAGGAGAACAAGGATGTCTCCAAGGTGCTGTTCTAGAGGAGTTGATGGGCGGGGTGGAGGCCGGGGTTGGTGGATCGGTCGTGGGGAGGTGTATCCCCGGTCGCTGGGACTTGCTCAACATTCTATGTAATTCCTGGGGGCGACACTTGGGGCCTGGTTCAGGTCGCTCCATTCTGTTCTAATATTGCTATAAAATTAATTAATCCATCTTGCGTACATTGTTGCAACGAGAGTCAACATTTGTGCTCTGTAACGCTCCCGAGCAGTATTCGGAACTCACCGCGTAATGCATCCACTATTGCCATAAAATGAATGGTTGGAACACGTTGGAACAAGCGCTAGATAGACAAGAGCAGTGAGTACTGCCATCACTCTGTTGGTTAGGTAAGCTGTGGTGTCTGAGAGACAGTTGTGCAGTATCTGCAACCGCATCTAAAACTGCCCTCGTCGTCGCCTGCATCCAAGTTACTCGAAGGAAGGTAGGGGAAAGGTCTACTGACAATACGAATAAGAATCGATATAAAGAGGTCCCGGATAGCATTAGCAAGTAACATCAATTTTTGCATAAGATGACAAGACTTAGTAGTTCGCTCTTGTTTCCCTCAATGAGATACAGCTTGGTCAGCAAGGAAAAGTCGAGGCCGTTCGAACCACAAGCACAGCCCGTCAGAAGTAGGACAACTGAATAGCACGAGAGAAGCCCGACGCTACAACAACTCGGAGTCCCGTCCTCTGCATATCTCTGTGCTCCTCCACTCAGCCTCTACTGCTGTGCACAGCCAGTGCCGCCACCGCCGGGGGCGTCGACATTCTCCTCGTCGTCGTTTTCCTCCTCTACCTCCTTCCACGGACAATGAAGCTCATCATGCGGCCACAGCCGCTGGTAGAGCACCCTCGCGGCCCTCCACTCCCAATCATGGTCCCAATAGCCATCCGATCTGAGCGAGCAAGCCCCGTTCCATCGTCAGCAGACGTCTTCCAGCATCCAAACAGAAATCAAAGAACCAAAGGAATGAAGCAAGATGATGAAGAAGGGATACGCACCTCAACTCGACAGCGTGCGGCGCCAGCATCGCGGCCCGGAGCAGCACGCACGCGACGACCTTATCGTAGGGCTTGCGGGCGGTCTTGACGAAGTTGAAGGACCCGTCCTCCTTCACGCCGATGACCAGGGGCTCGTGGCCGTTCTTGCCGACCCCGTTGAGGTCGATCCCCTCGTCCACGGACACGATCGGTGGCGTGGCCATCGCGTACCCATCGTAGTAGTCGGGCGGCCCCGTCAGGGGCACCCCGGCGGCGGCGATGATGGTCTGCGTGTCGGCGATCAGGCGCGGCCAGGTCGCTTCCCAGCCTTGGCTGGCGGAGTTCACGTGGAAGTAGTGGGTGTAGCTTTCGGTGTAAGTGAGAGCGTGTTAGTGGGTTTTGCTGGGACTCGGGAGATCTGGTCAGGGTTTCACTTACCCCATCTTTTGTGGCGGTTTTGTGTCGTGGTATGATAGGTAAAGGGATCTTGTGATCAGGTGGTGAAGAGGACAGAGGATGGAGTTGGAGATGAAAAGGTAGGGAGAAGGTAAAGTGGGAAGATGAGAAGTAGGAAGATGCGAGAGTGACAAGGTGGGAGGAAGAGTGCGGGCAAAAAGATGTTATCATTGAGGAAGTAACACTGTGCTACTCACAGTGAATGGAAGTATAGTACTGTACAGTGCATCCTTGCGGCATGCATACTAGGTAGTTTGCTGCCTGTCCCCGCTGCGGCTGCCTGGCATATTTCAACTACTGACTCTGAACCAAGAAGTCAACTTCTAAGGAAACCTGGCATTGTGTCTGCCAGCGTTGTTCCTCAGGATATCGAAGTTCGGTTTTCTGGATCTTTGGATTCCCCTTCTGATTTGTAGACTTTTGAATGCTATTTTATTTTATTTCCATATTCTTGCTACAATGTTTTAAGTATCTATACTATCTCCTCTCCCCAATTTTAAGGTTCACGCAGTGAAGTTTGCCCCCCCCCCCCAACTGTGAATTCAATGAGAAAGATTCGCAAGACCCGAGGGGATAGTCTAGATCACCACTAGTACACACCCACTTCCAGTATGTTGCTGAAATCCTCTGCACCACCCAGAAAATCATCAAAAGAATGCCGGATCTGGCCACAATCATAGTTTTATCATCCTCCGGGCTTATATGACTAGCTCGCTGATATTATTCAAAAGGCTAAGCATGCGGGGTTGAGCTTCTGGCCCATAGACTGAGTTTCGCTATCCCTCAGCCCTACGTCATACTCATAGAATTGCATAAGATTAAGCCTTCCGGTTAAAGCTTCGCTAAGCTTAGCGAAGCTTATTGTCAGCATTGGCGATTTTATGACAGATAGTCAAGGATCGAGTTCCTGGGTTAATACCAGATGAGAGACAGAGACCCTGTTAGATCCACACAGCTTCTGACACGCAAAGGCGATAGAAATCCTTACCACTTTGGTCCCTGGAATCCCATAATCTCGAACGACAGCAGAGCCTCCAGGGGCGCCAATATCCGCCTAGTGTGTACCTAGATCGATTTGGCAGTTTGCAACTCGGAAGAAGTAGGAAGCTCGGCGATCGGCGGCGAGTTGACTCTCAATCGGTTATCGCTGTGTCGACTCGCCTGCCACTTCTTAGCTCCGAGGGAGGTGCATTTGTCGTTCACCGGCATCGGCCCTCTTGCCTGCTTCTGGATATACTTGCTTCCCGGGTCATAGTCTTTACGTGCTGCGGCCAGTAAGTCCGAACAAAAGCGATCCGGCGGGCCATCAAAATTGGATATGTCTCCACCGTATAGTAGTCATTCAATAGATAGATGCTCTTGTTACAGACATTGATTGTAGCTTGCCCTTGATGGTTTGCTTGATGGTTTGCGTCTGTTGCTCATATAGCCGATCCTGCAGTCGGACATGGGTCAATATAACTGTACTCATTGAACTTACCACAAGACGGGTCTCACAGATCTCCTCTTTTTTATGGTCCGGTCGGCCATCTATGCCGGGCAGACTTGCAAAGGTGAATCCATGAGTGGTAATCAACTCCGAGGTGGGTCGGAGACGTCGGGGCGGGCCTCGGCAAACTCCGAGTTCGTGGGCTTTTCGGGTAGCCCCGACTCCACCACCATTGTTAAACAGATGGAGATGAGACTTCGGAGGCTCGGTCGAAGGCTGCTAGCTGCAGATCCCAGGATTCGTGGCTTTGTGGTGTGCTGATGCATTCAAGAGAACTCAAGTAGGATACAAAGATCACCATCAAAATCCCTTGCTGGTTTAACTCATCGTGATTTAGAAGGAATCAGGTGCGGCTTGTCTTCTCTCGCTTGGGGCAACAAGGGCGAAAAGATATTTGGTCGAATCTAGAAGCACGCTGTTGCGACGCGGGCTCTGGGCGTCACATGCACTACACATAAAGCTAAGGGCACGGGACGCAGTTATCTGGAGATCACTCCTCACAAACAGAGTCTTTGGAATTTATCCTGCGGAGTTGGTCTATATATACAAAGTAATGAAGACGCCTTATCTGGTGCAGTCAGAATAAGAGCACGGTGATCCAAATCAGAGAAGAGCAGCCAAAAGACCAGCGCCAACCATGGAAATCGCAGATCCATAGGAGAGGCTGTTCGCGCCACCAGTGTAGACAGCGCCAGAGCTGGAGGCAACAGCTGAGCCACTAGCCAAGGTGCTCTTGCTAGAGGTGGTGGTGGAAGTGGCGTTGCAGGTGGAGTTCGAGCTGGTGATACTGGTGTAGTCGCCGGTCTTGTCGGAGTAGGTGTAGCTGCATGCTGGGCTGTAGTTGGTGATGTTCACCGACTCGAGGTACATGATGAAGGGACCAGCGGTATAGTCAGTCTCGCCACCCGCCCATTCTGAGAAACACATTAGCAAAACGACATAGATAATTGTCAAGTACTGCAGTTGGCTTACCAATGGTTCCAGCGCTGTTACTGGGATCGCCACCAGCCCAGATTCCGATCTTGACAACCATGGGGGTCTGGGGGAAGTTGGTGCCATCCACCGCGTCAGCGTATTCGAGGGTGCGAACCACAGTTCCGTCGAGGATCCACTCGATTCTTTCCGCAGTCCAGTCAACGGCATAGGTGTGGAACTCCTCGACGGGATCAGTCAGGTCCACGTTGGTATACCTGTCGTAGCTGGTGGTGTTGCCTTTGCCGAAGTAGTCAGTCTGGACGTAAGTGTCGAAGGTTGAGATTTGTTCCTGTGATAGGGGTCAGCTTTCGACTGTTTTACTTGTTAAACCCCAATCATACCCAGTCAATCTCGTCGAGGTCATCGGACTCCATCACAAGTGTGCTGATGATACCGGTACCGTTGGCACAGCGGAACTTGGCTTCCACTCTTCCGAAGAAGATGTAGAAATCAGTCTGGATAGTGGGAGCATCTCCCTCTTCCTTGATCTCAAACTTGGCACCCAGGGAGGTGCTGTTAACCGTGCCAGCGGTCGTGGTCCACTTGTTGAACGCAGAAGACCCGACAGTGAAATCGGTGCTGAAAGACCACTGGTCGAGACCAGTATCGGCGGGACAGGTCTCTGTTGTGACGATCAGTTAGCGACAGGCTCAGGACTCTCGTTCTCGGCATCAACATACTGTTCAGGGGGTTGCAGTCGGTGTAGGTCTGGGCTGCGCACAAGGGCACTCCGGCGGCGAGGGCAGCGGCGGCCCACTGCATGTAGGACTTCATGGCTGTCTTGGCTGTGTGAAACGAATGTGTGATGGTGAACGAGTGAGAAGTTTCAGAAACGAATGAAGAGTGTTTCTTCAGAGATATAGAGAGCGAAAGTCCGATGGCTGGAACGAGAACAGGGAAGTGCCGGAGGTTTATGGGCTGGCGCAACCAAGGCGCAGGTGGGCTGTCAGGGGGCTGGCGCAGCGTGGGAAGGCAACAGCGAACATGTCGTCCTCGGGGCTAAGTTCGTCTTTGATCAAAAGCGCCTCCACAGTTCGAAATGAAGGACGTATGCATATTAGGTGTCCAAGCTCTTATTGGCGGGGTGGGTGGAACTGTTGGCCGAAGACGACAGCCTTTGCTATGGTATTTGTTCGCGGGCCATGGGGCCATGAACTGGTGCAAAAGCTTGACTGGATACTGAGTATGCATGTTGCAGAGCGAAAGTCAACGTCGTCTTGAATACTTTTCCGCCGGCGGAAGGGCGCTCGTCTCAAAGGGGGTAAGTGCCGTCGTGGACAGTGGAAACGCGGTGGATCTTCCATCGATATACATGTGTTCGTTTGACGGCGTGACGCTGAAAGCCACTGAGCCTACGTATGAGCATGCATCCTCCCCAGGTTTCCACCCAATAGACTGATCAAGCCACACCGAGATGGTTGCCCATCATTGCTCATCGTTCCTACCCACAGGATCTGCAGATAAGCCCATCGCAAGTTGTCAACCCCTCAGCCGCCGCCGCCCCATGAATGTCTGAAACTGTGATGTTGCGAACTCCACCCCCAATCATTGCCGGTCATTGTCAGCCAGAAGACAATATCAGAGACCGATATAGTATCATACTGTTGTAAAAGGGGGGGTGAGAGCTGAAACACGCTTTGAAGGCTTAGGACTGTGGGAGATTGTGCAGCATGGCTCGAACTCCACCCTCTCCTGGACCGGGTGTCTTACGTAGACAGCCTCCCCGCTAGTCCGTTTTCGCCCTGCACGTGATCTGGGCCTTACGTATCACGACCACGCCAGAGACTCGAGTGGTTCATGCTTAAATATAGACTCTTGGACCTTGGAACTGGGGTACCTTGCGAGGCCTCTTGACCGGCTCTAAAGGCATCCACAGTTGGGTGAACCTGACCCTCGGGCACCTGAGGTCAGAGGACATACGGTCACGTGATTATGCACACCGCCCACCAGCGAATCCGCAAGGCGGCACGTCAGCAAGGCATCAAATTTCCATACCAGATTCTAACCGCAGGACAAGACCCAAAATACAAGCAGCTAGATTCCACCAATACCACCCTTTCGATATCTAAATCCTTCATGGCACTAAGCGTGGCTTAAGTTCAATGCAAGAGCTGGAAGCTGTCTATTTATCGCCCAGACTGACAAACTCAAGCTTGCTTCTAAACGCCTCCTCCAACGAGATCAGTGGTTCGCTTGCAATCTGTTCACGATACAAGATTAGCATTACATCATTCTCCACCAGACTGTGGCAGGATAATACCTCACGAGCCTTCTCAACTGTACCATTATGGAAGTAACCATACTCCTCAATGTACTGGAGGACCTGGCACAAGTCTTCCTGAAAGAACTCGGGTAGTCCCCTCGAGGCAAGTGCAGTCTTGAACGTCTCTTTCGGCAGGGTCTGAAAGACTACAGACCTTCCCAGCTTGTTCAAGGTCTCCACTATCTCTTTGACGGTGTAATACCCTTCCGCGATATCCAGCCGTTTCCCAATTGTCTCTTCTGGGCGAAGCAGGATACCCTTCACAAACTTGCCGACATCCGCTGCTGCGTCAACCACAGGCAGCACGGTGTTGATGTTGGCAGGCTCCGGTAAGGGAAGGCTGAAAGCTGGAGGATCAGTGGATAGAGGAGCGAGGAAGAAATCAACGATGAAGGGCGTATACACTCCAATGTTGATTATCGTGTGAGGGATCGCTAGAGACCGAATATAGTCGTCCACAACGGCTTTGCCATCCCAGTGAACAGCGCCGGTGAGTTTACCGTCGGTGACTATGTCAAGCAGCAACATTGTTAGTCGAGAGCGACTGTGTGATACAATGACTACTCAGCAACAGGTGCGAAGTGACTTACTCTGCGAAATATGCGGCAGACTTGACCAGATCAGATGTTTAATGTCCAGCTCCTGTTTTAATTAGATAAACGTCTCGGGTACCAGAGGCTGATTCTACCTTGGCAACCTCAGCCACAAGCTTCGCCTGCCTTGTCTCTGCAGCATAATCAAAAGCTTCCATGTTGGTGACCAGGTACACTGCATATGCACCCTGAAGTGCAGCATAGACTTCTTCCTTTTTATCGAGGCTTGCCTAGTCTTTGTGGTTAGAGCCATGGTATTGTACAGTGCAGTAGCTGAGCAGCCATGTAAGCTTACCTTGACAACCTCTGCACCTTGTTGAGCAAGAGCCAATGCGGCTGGCTTGGAAGGGTCCCTAGTGATAGCTCTGACCTTGAATTGTCGAGAGGCGTCAGGGTCGCTGAGTATGGCCTTCGAGACTGAGCCACCCTGGACACCAGTGGCTCCAAACACCACAAAGACATTTCTATTATCAGATGGCATGTTAAAGATTCGTGTATACGAGAACAGAAGTGTATGCCAGGTAAGAAATGTAGCTCGGTATGACAGTTTGACTGTTCTATTGAAGCAATCGAGGAGTTTTGAGCCGGTTTTTATATCTTCATGGACAGTCGATTGAGCTTTTGTCGGGTTCATTCTCCATGGATTTGTATATTATCTTTCAGACTCGCAATATAGAGCGCTGATTGGCTGATTCGCAATACCTTCCGAATAGGGCTAGCGTCACTGCTGCCCGCCGGTGCCGAGTCTCTTCACTTCCAGGGTAGGTGTAGTATTCCTTTCAGTTGTCATCATGAGAACGTTAGCTCACATCATCATCCGTATTTGTAATGATTTGCAATCAGTTTCTCGAGTCCCAAGGGAATATAACGACCAGTTGCGCTGATGCGCTGGGAAACGCTCCACAACACTGGCCTCATGTGGGACAATGGTTCGCCACGGACGGCTGTCAACAGGCTGCCAAACTTGCAGGAAGCGGAAGATCAAAGTAAACCCATCTTACCTCTATGCGATTGATAAGAAGCATGAGGCTAACTGCCTGCAGTGTGATAAGCTACGACCGGCCTGTACCCAATGTGTTCGATCTGGCTGGCATTGCCCGCGAGATGCGGATTCTGCTGATCGAATGTTTATATATTGTGAGCCGCAAAGAGCAGCCATCAACACTTTCCAAGCAGTACATGCAACAATGTCCCGTAACGCTTCCTCCGATGCAAAGCACCTGGTCCATACCACCAAACGTAGGAGGGAGCACCTCGTTTCAGCTCCAAAACTACCGATGGAGATAGTGCAGCCTCTACATTGCCGTGCATCCGAATACTACCTAGCAAACCATGTCCTGCGACCGACCCGAGCGATCCGGGGCTATAATGAATACCTTTATACATTCAGCGCGGAGGTCCTGAGAGACCCGATGGTTGCCACCAGCCTGAGTGCAGTCGGGCTCGCAGCCTACTCTTACAAGTATCAGTATCCAGAAATCTTGAGCGAAGCAAGATGTGAATATGTTCGGTCCTTGAGATTCATTAATTCAGCACTCTCGTCATCGCAAGCGAACGCAGCAACTGATGCGATCGTCATTTCAATACTGCTTCTCATCTCCTACGAGTCTCATACAGCTGAGACCAGGCGTACTATGTCAAACCGCTATGCGCATGTGAAAGGCGCAGCGACGCTACTGTGTCTGCGAGGAGACGCGTCTATCTCATCTTGTCCGAGACGGCAGTTGTTTCATCACCTATTCTCATGTATCTCGGTCCATTGCATTATGTTGTCGCTTCCGATACCGGGTGATCTAGTCCTACTGCATGAAAAGGCCTTAAGATATGTTGATACGACGAGCGATCCTGCATGGCGGCTGTCGGAGTTGATCATCAAGGTGATTGAATTTCGTGATGAACTACGATCGGGAAGGATCCGAGATCCAGATACTATAATCGTTGCCGCTCAGAAACTCGATAGTGAGCTGGCTTCTGTAGCAGACACCTTTCCATCCTCTTGGCAATTTGAGATTTTCACTTCGCAAGAGAGGTCAGAGTTGGTCTTTGGGGAGGGTTTCCATGTCTATCCAGACCTATGGATTGCTTACAACTGGAATAACCTTCGAGCATGCCGGATGATTCTGCTTGATGAGATCCGTTGGCAATTAGAGCAACGCACGATACTTGCACACCCCTGCATGATGGCTGGTTTATTACAGCATCAGCGAACGTTGGTGAAGCTGCATCAGCTAAGCTCAGAGATATGTGCAACAGTCCCACAGCACTGCGGCTATCACTTGGAGCTGCTGAATTGCACAGGTCCAAACGAACCCTCAAGCCCACACAAGCAGCTCAGGGATAGTGATACAAGTATCCCGAGGGATGCCGGTGCGCACCTTCTTTTCTGGCCCTTTATAAATGCCGGGCAGTTCACTCCATCGCAGCACCAACGAAACTGGATCGCTGGTCGCATCCCTTCCGTGGGTCAGCAGGGAGCTCTTATTGCCGATATTCTGAAGTTGGGACAGCGAGTGTTCTAATGCGGTGGAAGAGGATAGATTAAAGGGCTTGAGTTGAATAGAGTTGAACCTGCATGGAATTCCGGCTCAAATGGCACACTCCGGAGTAGAAATAATCACATGTTTGAGTTACGTCAAAGTGGACAAATGATTGCCTAGCCTTCTATAACCACACAAAGAAACACC